CCCCCCTCAGTGATGATGCCCCCCTCAGTGATGATGTCCCCCCCCCTTCAGTGATGATGCCCCCCCCCCTCAGTGATGATGCCCCCCTCAGTGATGATGTCCCCTCAGTGATGTCCCCTCAGTGATGATGTCCCCCTCAGTGATGATGTCCCCCTCAGTGATGATGCCCCCCTCAGTGATGATGTCCCCTCAATGATGATGCCCCCCTCAGTGATGATGCCCCCCCTCAGTGATGATGCCCCCTCAGTGATGATGCCCCCCTCAGTGATGATATCCCCTCAGTGATGATGTCCCCTCAGTGATGATGTCCCCTCAGTGATGATGTCGCCTCAGTGATGATGTCCCCTCAGTGATGATGCCCCCTCAGTGATGATGTCCCCTCAGTGATGATGCCCCCCTCAGTGATGATATCCCCTCAGTGATGATGCCCCCTCAGCGATGATATCCCCTCAGTGATGATATCCCCTCAGTGATGATGTCCCCTCAGTGATGATGTCCCCTCAGTGATGATGCCCCTCAGTGATGATGTCCCCTCAGTGATGATGTCCCCCTCAGTGATGATGCCCCCCTCAGTGATGATGCCCCCCTCAGTGATTATGTCCCCCTCAGTGATGATGCCCCCCTCAGTGATGATGTCCCCTCAGTGATGATGTCCCCCTCAGTGATGATGTCCCCTCAGTGATGATGCCCCCCTCAGTGATGATGCCCCCTCAGTGATGATGTCCCCTCTGTAATGATGCCCCCTCAGTGATGATGTCCCCCTCAGTGATGATGTCCCCCTCAGTGATGATGCCCCCCTCAGTGATGATGCCCCCCTCAGTGATGATGCCCCCCTCAGTGATGATGCCCCCCTCAGTGATGATGTCCCCTCAGTGATGATGCCCCCCTCAGTGATGATATCCCCTCAGTGATGATGCCCCCTCAGTGATGATGTCCCCTCAGTGATGATGTCCCCTCAGTGATGATGTCCCCTCAGTGATGATGCCCCCTCAGTGATGATGTCCCCTCAGTGATGATGTCCCCTCAGTGATGATATCCCCTCAGTGATGATGTCCCCTCAGTGATGATGTCCCCCTAAGTAATGATGTCCCCCTAAGTGATGATATCCCATCAGTGATGATGCCCCCTTCAGTGATGATGCCCCCTCAGTGATGATGCCCCCTCAGTGATGATGTCCCCCTCAGTGATGATATCCCCTCAGTGATGATATTTCCTCAGTGATGATATCCCCTCAGTGATGATATCCCCTCAGTGATGTCCCCTCAGTGATGATATCCTCTCAGTGATGATGTCCCCTCAGTGATGATGTCCCCTCAGTGATGATGTCCTCTCAGTGATGATGTCCCCTCAGTGATGATATACCCCTCAGTGATGATGCCCCCTCAGTGATGATGTCCCCCTCAATGATGATGCCCCCTCAGTGATGATGTCCCCCTCAGTGATGATGCCCCCCTCAGTGATGATGTCCCCCTCAGTGATGATGTCCCCCTCAGTGATGATATCCCCTCAGTGATGATATCCCCTCAGTGATGATATCCCCCCAGTGATGATATCCCCCCAGTGATGATGTCCCCTCAGTGATGATGTCCCCCTCAGTGATGATGTCCCCCTCAGTGATGATATCCCCCTCAGTGATGATATCCCCTCAGTTATGATGCCCCCTCAGTGATGATGTCCCCCTCAGTGATGATGTCCCCTCAGTGATGATGTCCCCTCAGTGATGATGTCCCCTCAGTGATGATGTCCCCTCAGTGATGATCCCCCTCATGATGATGTCCCCTCAGTGATGATGTCCCCCTCAGTGATGATGTCCCCCTCAGTGATGATGTCCCCTCAGTGATGATGTCCCCTCAGTGATGATGTCCCCCTCAGTGATGATGTCCCCCTCAGTGATGATATCCCCTCAGTGATGATATCCCCCCAGTGATGATATCCCCTCAGTGATGATATCCCCTCAGTGATGATATCCCCCTCAGTGATGATATCCCCTCAGTGATGATGTCCCCTCAGTGATGATGTCCCCTCAGTGATGATGTCCCCCTCAGTGATGATGTCCCCCTCAGTGATGATGTCCCCCTCAGTGATGATGTCCCTCTCAGTGATGATGTCCCCCTCAGTGATGATGTCCCCCTCAGTGATGATGTCCCCCTCAGTGATGATGTCCCCCTCAGTGATGATGTCCCCCTCAGTGATGATGTCCCCCTCAGTGATGATATCCCCCTCAGTGATGATATCCCCCTCAGCTCGCACATCCCTTCTAATGCCACTGCTCAACACAGCCCCCCCCCCCCCCCTCTTTCTCAACATATTTTCTAGGCAAAAAAATGGGCCGGGGGGGGGGAGGAGGAGGGTAAATGAACTTATCTTAGTTTGAGAGCATAATATAATAATTCTGTACTGAATGGCAAATAAGTATAATAGATTGGAAATATGCAAACAAAAACATTTAAAGAAAATGTATATACTTGTTTAAGAGGGTTGCTTAACCTCATTACAAAAATTATTGGGAAGGGGGGGGGGGGGCAGGAACAAGTATCTTGAGGCTACAGGTTTTGAAATGTGTGCCCCCCCCCCCCCCCCCCCCCCCCCAATTTTTTTTTTAAAATAAATATGTAATTTATCACCCAGAAAGTTAGAACAGAAAATTACTGATTACATTCCTATTATTTCTTGTATGTAGTTCACACATATTAGAAATATGATGCTTAACATATATGGGTTTTACTTGGGTGAAGTTTTGTTTTGTTTCTTATCAGTTATTAGATGTTTATGTTTGCTCTATTGCTTCTCCTTTCTTTCCACTTTCTCAGATCTTTATTCACCTCTTCCTCAATCCTTTTTTTTTCTTCTTAGTTTATCCTTTCCAGATTTGCATTCTGTAGGATTACAATTTTAAAAGATCTGAACATCAAGGAAGATTGGCTAATAAACAGCATCTTGTCTTGGAAGCTGAAATATTTTGGTCACATCAGTGTCATGGCGGATTGGACAAAATAATAGCAGAGGACATGGTACCAGGAAGGAGGGGCACAGACCGACCAACACAAAATGGGTGCAAGTGACTCCTTGAGTATGAAAGTACACGAAGAGGGAGAGCTGGCGAGAGACCGAGTTTCTTTCAGGCAGATGGTGATGCTAAGGACCTGCTACATGATGATGATGATTACCATTTCAAGAATGAGAGTCAGACAGCAACAAATTTCAGAAACCCTGTTTAGCCATATAACACAGCTACATAGGGGCACCACAATTTGGTTACCAAGGGAACCTATAGTCTAGTGTAGGTGGTTTTGAGTGATGTTTTGTAGCTAAGGTAATGTGTGGTCCAGTGTAAGTGGTTTTGAGTGATGTTTTGTAGCTAAGGTAATGTGTGGTCCAGTGTAAGTGGTTTTGAGTGATGTTTTGTAGCTAAGGTAATGTGTGGTCCAGTGTAAGTGGTTTTGAGTGATGTTTTGTAGCTAAGCTAATGTGTGGTCAAGTGATGTTTTGTAGCCAAAGTAATGTGTGGTCTAGTGTAGGTACTTTTGAGTGATGTTTTGTAGCTAAGGTAATGTGTGGTCCAGTGTAAGTGGTTTTGAGTGATGTTTTGTAGCTAAGGTAATGTATGATCCAGTGTAAGTGGTTTTGAGTGATGTTTTGTAGCTAAGGTAATGTGTGGTCCAGTGTAAGTGGTTTTGAGTGATGTTTTGTAGCTAAGGTAATGTATGATCCAGTGTAAGTGGTTTTGAGTGATGTTTTGTAGCTAAGGTAATGTATGATCCAGTGTAAGTGGTTTTGAGTGATGTTTTGTAGCTAAGGTAATGTATGATCCAGTGTAAGTGGTTTTGAGTGATGTTTTGTAGCTAAGGTAATGTATGATCCAGTGTAAGTGGTTTTGAGTGATGTTTTGTAGCTAAGGTAATGTATGATCCAGTGTAAGTGGTTTTGAGTGATGTTTTGTAGCTAAGGTAATGTATGATCCAGTGTAAGTGGTTTTGAGTGATGTTTTGTAGCTAAGGTAATGTATGATCCAGTGTAAGTGGTTTTGAGTGATGTTTTGTAGCTAAGGTAATGTATGATCCAGTGTAAGTGGTTTTGAGTGATGTTTTGTAGCTAAGGTAATGTATGATCCAGTGTAAGTGGTTTTGAGTGATGTTTTGTAGCCAAAGTAATGTGTGGTCCAGTGTAGGTAGTTTTGAGTGATGTTTTGTAGTCAGGACAAGAAGAGAATGCTGATGTTTTGAGAGCTGCATGTTACATGATTCACTTACAAAAACTAATCCAATCACAAACAAAATATATGGAATATCAATGGAACAGAAGTATAAAGTAAGCCTTATAAGTGACAGATACAGAAAGGTCTGTGAAAAGTTTCAGTAGATGGGTTTTTAAAAAAAGGGGCTTCCATATGCCATCATACTGGCAGATGACAGGTAAGATCACAGTTGTGATCACACATGTCCATTCCATGCCAGGTACCTGAACAATCATGGCTGAATTTCTTTGTTTTTGTTTCTCTCCCCGACTTTCCAGATTTAGTTGATGATTCTACAAATTTTATAAAAGACTTCCCCAACTTTCTTCAATACTTTTCAGTTTGTTGCCAACTAATACATTTTTATTCCAGACATTTTGTTGCAGACTTTTTTATATTTTATTGCAGACTATAGATTTTATTTCTGACTTTCCAGATTGAATTGCTGCATTTCCATATTTGGTTGTTGACTTTCCAGATTGTTTTGCTGACTTTCCAGATTCTGTTGCTGACTTTCCAGATTCTGTTGCTGACATTCCAGATTTTATTGCTGACATACTAGCTTTTATTGCTGACTATCCAGATTTATTGTTGACTTTCCAGATTTTATTGCAGATTTTCCAGATTTTATTACTGACTTTCCATATTTATTGCTGACTTTCCGGATTTTAATGCTGAGTTTCCAGATTTTATTGCTGAATTTCTCAGTTCTATTTTTATTTTCCAGAGCTGAGGTCAGCTGCACCGATGATAGTTGCCAGGCAACATGAAGAAGCAAGAAAAAGCTGCCCAGGTGATCTCATGTGCAAGTGGACAAGAACAAGCTGTTGTTATTGAGGACTCCACCAATAATTCAACTCCCTCAGATTGCAGCGTCACAGCTGTAGGTGTGACTGTCAGTGCATTGCTGCCTGCGGCAACATCTCCGTCAAAAGACTTAGGTGCAGAAGGTGGTAGTGAAGAAGAGCCACAAAGCATGGGTATGAAACAGTCCAAGTCTGAGCACACAGGTCTGGGCCGTAAAGACAAATCAAGAGAAAGTAAGTCGTGCCTGGGAAGAAAGTTTATGAGTAAGAGCCAGGACAATTTGGGCAGCCAGAAAAAAGGGAAGCCAAAAGAAACTGTGGTGGAGGCTCCGAAACCACGTGAGAATGCTGCTTCCTTGGCTAGAGCTGAAGCAGTTCGTGCTAAGAGAAACAAAGAAAACATTATGGTTAAAGAGAAGGAGAAACAGACAACATTTGCCAAACCAAAATCAGTAAAACCTTTTAGCCTGCCAACTAATATGCGTAAAACTTCCAACACACATTCCATTGACAGAACAAGTCAGAGCTCTTCCAGCCTGAAGTCACAAACATCTTTAAAGTCTTCCAACAACTTGGCAATCAAGCGAGCACAGAGCACACAGAATGTCAGCAAGGACAACTTTATGAAGAAACGGACTTCCGTCCCTGCTGACGTCATGGCATATAATGCTGAGCTTCTTGCCAATTTTGAAAAAGAGAAGAAAATTTTAGAGCTGCAAATCTCCGAGCTGACAAAGGTGACGGAAAGTAGGAAAGGAGAGATTGAAAAGTACAAGTATGACATTTAAAGGCTTAAGGACCAGGTAATGTATGCTGGAGACAAAGAAGAAATGGAATTGTTGAGGAACTAAAACAAACAGCTTCTTGACAGACTTCAGGAGCTGGGATTTCCTCCAGAATATGTCACAGACTCTGAGAAGATTATGCTGAAATTGTCTGGGGCCAGCAGTGTTAGAAGTCATGGAAGCAACTCTGATATCTGTCATCAGGCAAGCATCAGCTGCGACAGCTTATCAACGGACGGAAGTGGTCCCAAGGGAGGGGCCAAAGCTATTTCGATACCTGCAGGTGGAGGCCCCGGAAAGCGTCTGGTTGTGGGAAATGGAGGTTCAGACCTCCGCAGGTCAACATCCTTATCGGCGTCAGAACCAGGGTTATCATTGCCTGATTTCTGTGGTACACCAGACCATCCTTCGGTGCTTTCCCTGGACACCTGCAACTGGGACAAACAGAGTAACAAATCTGCCAACAGTGATGGAGCTCTCAGCGAGGCTTCCTTGGCTTGTCTTACAGAAAGGATATTGCAGATGGAAGAAACAAACTACTCCACAACATAGGAGCTACAAGCGACTCTACAGGTTTGTCATTTATTTTACTTTTGCACTGTATAAGTTGGGTTAACCAAAACTGAATCACTGTCTGACTATCTTATATCTCTGACCCCATTCTCTTCCCCCCCCCCCCCGCCCCCTTCCTCCTGCTGCTTGAACATGGCATCTTGGAAACTGTTCAGCCTTTTAGTTTTTTAGTCAACAAATGATCCTTACAGCATATTGAACTAATTAATCAGTCTATAATTGCTCGGATCCCTTCATAAGTCAGCCGCTCCATGTGAGAGCTGACAACGCCAATTCTCTTTTGGTTTATTGTTTCTTTGGCTTCTTGCATATTGCCATTGTCTGATCTCATCCCTTTTGATTTGCTGTTTTTGCAATCTGATCATGGTTGCTGATTCACAGCGATCACCTGATAAAGTATTTGGCATGTTCGTCTGGTTCATAGCTTGTCCATCCACTATCTTCTTCTTCTTCTTCAGCATTCCGAGCCCTTGAGGTTCATTGCTGCAGATATCACCTGCCTCCATTCATCTCTCTGGTTGGCCTTCTTTTTCGGCATTCTTTGCCCTTGAGGTTCATTGCTGCAGATATCCCCTGCCTCCATTCATCTCTCTGGTTGGCCTTTTTCTTCAGCATTTCAAGCCCTTGAGGTTCATTGCTGCAGATATCACCCGCCTCCATTCATCCCTCTGGTTGGCCTTTTTCTTCAGCATTTCAAGCCCTTGAGGTTCATTGCTGCAGATATCACCTGCCTCCATTCATCCCTCTGGTTGGCCTTCTTCTTCAACATTCCGAGCCCTTGAGGTTTATTGCTGCAGATATCACCTGCCTCCATTCATCTCTCTGGTTGTCCTTCTTCTTCAGCATTCTGAGTCCTTTAGGTTCGTTGCTGCAGATATCACCTGCCCCCATTCATCTCTCTGGTTAGCCTTCTTCAGCATTCCGAGCCCTTGAGGTTCATTGCTGCAGATATCACCTGCCTCCATTCATCCCTCTGGTTGGCCTTCTTCAACATTCCGAGCCTTTAAGGTTCATTGCTGCGGATATCCCCTGCCTCCATTCATCTCACTGTTTGGCCTTCTTCTTAAGCATTCCGAGCCCTTGAGGTTCATTGCTGAAGATATCACCCGCCTCCATTCATCTCTCTGGTTGGCCTTTTTCTTCAGCATTTCAAGCCCTTGAGGTTCATTGCTGCAGATATCACCTGCCTCCATTCATCCCTCTGGTTGGCCTTCTTCTTCAACATTCCGAGCCCTTGAGGTTCATTGCTGCAGATATCACCTGCCTCCATTCATCTCTCTTGTTGGCCTTCTTCTTCAGCATTCTGAGTCCTTGAGGTTCATTGCTGCAGATATCACATGCCTCCATTCATCTCTCTGGTTAGCCTTCTTCAGCATTCCGAGCCCTTGAGAATCATTGCTGCAGATATCACCCGCCTCCATTCATCTCTCTGGTTGGCCTTCTTTTTCAGCATTCTGAGCCCTTGAGGTTCATGGCTGCAGATATCACCTGCCTCCATTCATCTCTCTGGTTAGCCTTCTCTTTTCAGTTGGTGACACAAAGTATTTGCAAGTCTGTCTTGACACTATCTCTCCATTAATCATCTTGGTCTGCCTCGTGGTCTACGACCATGCATCTCCCTTGTATATACAGTTTTTACTTCTCTCTCATCTGACATTCTTTCAATATGCCCCAACCATTTCAGTCTATTAGCTCTCATGATGCCAGTGATCAATGGTGATTTAATAGATTATGAATTTCATTGTTGCTACTCACTCCATTCCCTGCTGTTTGCATCTTTCCTGGGTCTAAAGATTCACTGTAAGACTCTGTTTTCAAAAACTTGTGATATGGCTTCATCACTTTTAGTTCTCCAAGTTTCAGTGCGTATTGAAACAACTGGTCTTATCAATGTTTTAAATATTTTGATCTTGGTGTTGCAAGACAGACATTTTGACTTTAGCAGATGTTGAAGGGCACAGTATTTATTTTCAGATTGTATTTTTTTCTCTCAGCCTGTTGGAGTGTTTGAAGTTTGCACCCAAGTGCTTAAATGTTTCAGTTCGTTTGATTTTCATATTTCATATTATCAACTTGCATGTGGCCGGAGTTTATTTCCTTTCCCTGTCTAGTTATTATCATGTATTCTGTCTTATTCTGATTGATAACTAATCCCATTATATGAGCTGATTATTTTAAGAGAGTCAGTGTTTTAACAGTCTCTAGTTCATTTTCTTTAACGATGTCAATGTCATCTGCATATCCAAGTATTCTTGTAGATTCTCCTTTTGTACACTTTTGTTTCAATTTCCTCATAAATTTCTCTAGGGCCAAGTTGAAAAGAAGTGGGGACAGAGCATCGCCCTGCTTTAAACCAGATGTTATTTGAAAAGCATCTGACTTTCTGCCTTTATATATTACTATATTAAAAGTGTCTTCCATACATAGCTTGGTCATGGCAATTAACTTCTTTGGTATACCAATATCTTAGAAGTTATAATTATGGTAGTAGCTGGGCCAGTTACTGCCTCTGTACACCACACAAGTAAGATCTTAACCACAAGCTGGGGAATTGTAAACAACTGGAACATGGGAAGAAGACATCAGCCTTACACAATTACACTTACAGTAAAAAGAGTACATGTTGTATGTGTGGTTTGCCTCTTCAGTTGAGGTGTTGACTTTATCCTTTAGTGTGTCAGTGCAAAAGTTTAGGAGATCCCTGGCGTTATTGTGCTGTGGGGTTTATTCTTCGTGCAAACTCTCGTGGAAGATAGATCTAAAACCTGATGCAGTGGAATCACTCATTTACATACCCTTTTAAAAAAAAGATGCATAGAAATATCTTGAATCATTTTATGAATCTTAGAGAAAAGTGGTGAGAGTAATGAACACATCTAAAGAGACTAACTCGGCCGATCAGAGAGAGGCTGATTACCAGGTTAACTGTGGGAAGTGAACCAACCAGGTGTGAACAGGGGCTAAATGAGATTACAGGCAACAGCAACTTCAGTCTTTCTCTGTGTAAAATAAAGATATAGCTAGTTGTGAGTACTTGCTCCAGATATAGCTAATTGTGAGTACTTGATCCAGATATAGCTAGTTGTGAGTACTTGCTCCAGATATAGCTAGTTGTGAGTACTTGATCCAGATATAACTAGTTTTGAGTACTTGATCCAGATATAACTAGTTGTGAGTAATTGATCCAGATATAGCTGGTTGTAAGTACTTGATCCAAATATAGCTGATTGTGAGTACTTGCTCCAGATATAGCTGGTTGTGAGTTCTTGATCCAGATATAACTAGTTGTGTGTACTTGATCCAGATATAACTAGTTGTGAGTACTTGATCCAGATATAGCTAGTTGTGAGTACTTGATCCAGATATAGCTAGTTGTGAGTAGTTGATCCAGATTTAGCTAGTTGGGAGTTCTTGATCCAGATATAGCTAGTTGTGAGTACTTGATCCAGATATACCTAGTTTGTGAGTACTTGATCCAGATATAGCTGCTTGTAAGTACTTGATCCAGACATAGATGTTTGTGAGTACTTGATCCAGATATAGCTGGTTGTGAGTACTTGATCCAGATACAGCTGGTTGTGAGTACTTGATCCAGATATAGCTAGTTGTGAGTACTTGATCCAGATATAGCTAGTTGTGAGTACTTGATCCAGATATAGCTGGTTGTGAGTACTTGATCCAGATATAGCTAGTTGTGAGTACTTGATCCAGATATAGCTAGTTGTGAGTGATTGATCCAGATATAGCTAGTTGTGAGTGATTGATCCAGATATAGCTAGTTGTGAGTGATTGATCCAGATATAGCTAGTTGTGAGTACTTGATCCAGATATAGCTAGTTGTGAGTACTTGATCCAGATATAGCTAGTTGTGAGTACTTGATCCAGATATAGCTAGTTGTGAGTGATTGATCCAGATATAGCTAGTTGTGAGTGATTGATCCAGATATAGCTAGTTGTGAGTTATTGATCCAGATATAGCTAGTTGTGAGTGATTGATCCAGATATAGCTAGTTGTGAGTGATTGATCCAGATATAGCTAGTTGTGAGTGATTGATCCAGAAATTACTAGTTGTGAGTTCTGATATAGATATAGCTAGCTGTGAGTACTTGATCCAGATATAGCTAGTTGTGAGTTCTTGATCTTGTGTGAATTGTTTCAGCCATGAATTTTAGCTCCTTCACAGAAATAATAGGCCAGATAAATATTTTGACCACCTCAAAAGATATAACATGCAACCATGGTAACACTGGCTAGACACTTGCCTGCTGACTCGAAGGTCTTAGGTTTTAATCGAGTCAGGGTGGATTGTTATAATTGGCCTGGGCTTCATCAATCAACAGGTTCTTTACGCCTGAAAGTCTATGTTCCTCTTGCCAGTTCTCCAGCCCTATGTGCAGTCATAACCAGATCATCCTTAAGTCAGTTACTTCTCATTAAAAAAAAATGTGACTGTCTACATTGTAGTCTACGACTAACTCTACTTGTTGATTTCCTAACGTCTTTTCACACTGAATTGTTCCGTAGGAGTTAGGCGACCTTCAGGGTGCAGTGAATGAACTGACAGAGGAAAACACCAAACTGACGGATGAGAAGGCCGTCCTGCTGGAGTCACTGTACCCAGACAGAGAAGCTAGAAAACACTAGGATACAGGTGAAGAGCCTCTTTGTGTTGGTCTTTTTATTGACTGGCTCATCTGGAGCAACGGACAGACAGACAGACAGACAAACCTTTTTTTTCCCCAGAGTGTCACCTGTCTTGTTTTTTTTTTTTTTTACTCACACCCTGTGTCCTCACTCACACATGACTTGTGTCCTCACTCACACATGTCTTGTGTCCTCACATCCTGTGTCCTTTCACATGACCTGTGCCCTCATTTCTTGTGTCCTCACTCATTTCTTGTGTCCTCACTCATTTCTTGTGTCCTCACTCATGTCTTGTGTCCTCACTCATGTCTTGTGTCCTCACTCATGACTTGTGTTCTCACTCATGTCTTGTGTCCTCACTCATGTCTTGTGTCCTCACTCATTTCTTGTGTCCTCACTCATGACTTGTGTCCTCACTCATGTCTTGTGTCCTCACTCATGACTTGTGTCCTCACTCATGACTTGTGTTCTCACTCATGTCTTGTGTCCTCACTCATGTCTTGTGTCCTCACTCATTTCTTGTGTCCTCACTCATGACTTGTGTCCTCACTTATGTCTTGTGTAATCACTCATTTCTTGTGTCCTCACTCATGTCTTGTGTCCTCACTCATTTCTTGTGTCCTCACTCATGTCTTGTGTCCTCACTCATGTCTTGTGTCCTCACTCATTTCTTGTGTCCTCACTCATGACTTGTGTCCTCGCTCATGTCTTGTGTCCTCACTCATGTCTTGTGTCCTCACTCATGACTTGTGTCCTCAATCATGACTTGTGTCCTCACTCATCTCTTGTGTCCTCACTCATTTCTTGTGTCCTCACTCATTTCTTGTGTCCTCACTCATTTCTTGTGTCCTCACTCATGTCTTGTGTCCTCACTCATTTCTTGTGTCCTCACTCATGTCTTGTGTCCTCACTCATGTCTTGTGTCCTCACTCATTTCTTGTGTCCTCACTCATGACTTGTGTCCACACTCATGTCTTGTGTCCTCAATCATGACTTGTGTCCTCACTCCTGTCTTGTGTCCTCACTCATTTCTTGTGTCCTCACTCATTTCTTGTGTCCTCACTCATTTCTTGTGTCCTCACTCATGACTTGTGTCCTCACTCATTTCTTGTGTCCTCACTCCTGTCTTGTGTCCTCACTCATGACTTGTGTCCTCACTCATGACTTGTGTTCTCACTCATGTCTTGTGTCCTCACTCATGTCTTGTGTCCTCACTCATTTCTTGTGTCCTCACTCATGACTTGTGTCCTCACTTATGTCTTGTGTCCTCACTCATTTCTTGTGTCCTCACTCATGTCTTGTGTCCTCACTCATGTCTTGTGTCCTCACTCATTTCTTGTGTCCTCACTCATGACTTGTGTCCTCGCTCATGTCTTGTGTCCTCACTCATGTCTTGTGTCCTCACTCATGACTTGTGTCCTCACTCATTTCTTGTGTCCTCAATCATGACTTGTGTCCTCACTCATCTCTTGTGTCCTCACTCATTTCTTGTGTCCTCACTCATTTCTTGTGTCCTCACTCATTTCTTGTGTCCTCACTCATTTCTTGTGTCCTCACTCATGACTTGTGTCCTCACTCATTTCTTGTGTCCTCACTCATGTCTTGTGTCCTCACTCATAACTTGTGTCCTCACTCATCTCTTGTGTCCTCACTCATGACTTGTGTCCTCACTCATTTCTTGTGTCCTCACTCATTTCTTGTGTCCTCACTCATTTCTTGTGTCCTCACTCATCTCTTGTGTCCTCACTCATGACTTGTGTTCTCACTCATGACTTGTGTCCTCACTCATTTCTTGTGTCCTCACTCATGACTTGTGTCCTCACTCATTTCTTGTGTCCTCACTCATGTCTTGTGTCCTCACTCATTTCTTGTGTCCTCACTCATGTCTTGTGTCCTCACTCATGTTTTGTGTTCTCACTCATTTCTTGTTTCCTCACTCATGTCTTGTGTCCTCACTCATGTCTTGTGTCTTCACTCATTTCTTGTGTCCTCACTCACTTCTTGTGTCCTCACTCATGTCTTGTGTCCTCACTCATGTTTTGTGTCTTCACTCTCTCGTGACTTGTGTCCTCACTTATGTCTTCTGACCTCACATATGACTTGTGTCCTCACTCATGACTTGTGTCCTCATTCATCTCTTGTGTCCTCACTCATGACTTGTGTCCTCACTCATTTCTTGTGTCCTCACTCATTTCTTGTGTCCTCACTCATTTCTTGTGTCCTCACTCATGACTTGTGTCCTCACTCATTTCTTGTGTCCTCACTCTCTGGTGACTTGTGTCTTCACTCTCTGGTGACTTGTGTCCCCACTCATTTCTTGTGTCCTCACTTATGTCTTGTGGACTCACTCTCTCGTTACTTGTGTTCTCACTTATGTCTTGTGTCCTCACTTATGTCTTGTGTCCTCACTAATGTCTTGTGTCCTCACTCTCTCGTGACTTGTGTCCTCACCCATTTCTTGTGTCCTCACTTATTTCTTGTGTCCTCACTTATGTCTTGTGTCCTCACTCATTCGTGACTTGTGTCCTCACCCATTTCTTGTGTCCTCACTTATGTCTTGTTTACTCACTCTCTCGTTACTTTTGTCCTCACTCATTTCTTTTGTCCTCACAGCTAGAACAGCTGAAATGTCTGCTGATCTCCGGAGAACTCCCAGGCAGTTCAGACAGAGACAGCCATCTGTAAGGCCTCCTCAAGTCTGCCCAGGAGGAGAGGGAGGAACTGATGAGGAAACAGTTTGAGTGGTCAAATGCTCTGCAGACGCTAGAGAATGAGTACAAGGAGGCACACGAAGCAGAGGAAACACTGAGGGAGAAATACAAGTGGGTTTCGTTTTTTCAAGAACTTGATTGTTGTCTGATAAATCTGGAATTTGTGTGTAATGTTTGTTTTTCTGTAACTCTACCAGACCGATGTCCCGCTACTGCGTTAATTCTCTAACTTGCCACTTTACAGTTATCCTGATTTATCAGGATTTTGCGTACTACGTGAGAAAACGTGTCACAAACTTAAAACATCCAACCAGTCGTGATGAAACCACATGGTTAGTCACTGCCAATGGCTGCCAACATGTGTTTGGTGTTACTTTGTGTTGTTTCAGGTGAACAAATTCTGAAAATTCACAGTGGAACGAGCGGTTGATGAACCAAGCGCTTCGACAGGAAAGTGAAGTAGGTCTAGGCTTTTCACAGTCCAACAGGTGATTGATACTGTGGTTGATTCAGACTGTGGAGTCATAATTTCATGAAGAATATGTTCCCAGTTAAAGTGACGCAGTCAGTGAGAGCTAGTTTAAGTGACACAGTCAGTGAGAGCTAGTTTAAGTGACACAGTCAGTGAGAGCTAGTTGAAGTGACACAGTCAGTGAGAGCTAGTTGAAGTGACACAGTCAGTGAGAGCTAGTTGAAGTGACACAGTCAGTGAGAGCTAATTGAAGTGACACAGTCAGTGAGAGCTAGTTGAAGTGACACAGTCAGTGAGAGCTAGTTGAAGTGACACAGTCAGTGAGAGCTAGTTGAAGTGACACAGTCAGTGAGAGCTAGTTGAAGTGACACAGTCAGTAAGAGCTAGTTGAAGTGACACAGTCAGTGAGAGCTAGTTGAAGTGACACAGTCAGTGAGAGCTAGTTGAAGTGACACAGTCAGTGAGAGCTAGTTGAAGTGACACAGTCAGTGAGAGCTAGTTGAAGTGACACAGTCAGTGAGAGCTGGTTGAAGTGACACAGTCAGTGAGAGCTAGTTGAAGTGACACAGTCAGTGAGAGCTGGTTGAAGTGACACAGTCAGTGAGAGCTAGTTGAAGTGACACAGTCAGTGAGAGCTAGTTGAAGTGACACAGTCAGTGAGAGCTAGTTGAAGTGACACAGTCAGTGAGAGCTAGTTGAAGTGACACAGTCAGTGAGAGCTAGTTGAAGTGACACAGTCAGTGAGAGCTAGTTGAAGTGACACAGTCAGTGAGAGCTAGTTGAAGTGACACAGTCAGTGAGAGCTAGTTGAAGTGACACAGTCAGTGAGAGCTAGTTGAAGTGACACAGCCAGTGAGAGCTAGTTGAAGTGACACAGCCAGTGAGAGCTAGTTGAAGTGACACAGTCAGTGAGAGCTAGTTGAAGTGACACAGTCAGTGAGAGCTGGTTAAAGTGACACAGTGAGAGCTAGTTGAAGTGACACAGTCAGTGAGAGCTGGTTGAAGTGACACAGTCAGTGAGAGCTAGTCGAAGTGACACAGTCAGTGAGAGCTAGTTGAAGTGACACAGTCAGTGAGAGCTAGTTGAAGTAACACAGTCAGTGAGAGCTAGTTGAAGTAACACAGTCAGTGAGAGCTAGTTGAAGTGACACAGTCAGTGAGAGCTGGTTGAAGTGACACAGTCAGTGAGAGCTAGTTGAAGTGACACAGTCACTGAGAGCTAGTTGAAGTGACACAGTCAGTGAGAGCTAGTTGAAGTGACACAGTCAGTGAGAACTAGTTGAAGTGACACAGTCAGTGAGAGCTAGTTGAAGTGACACAGTCAGTGAGAGCTAGTTGAAGTGACACAGTCAGTGAGAGCTGGTTGAAGTGAGACAGTCAGTGAGTGCTGGTTGAAGTGAGACAGTGAGAGCTAGTTGAAGTGACACAGTCAGTGAGAGCTAGTTGAAGTGACACAGTCAGTGAGAGCTAGTTGAAGTGACACAGTCAGTGAGAGCTAGTTGAATTGAGACAGTGAGAGCTCGAATGATGAGGAGAATCTTGAAAATTATAAATCTAGAAATAGATCGAAAGTAGGAAAAGGGGGCGTGTCCCTCAAACAGCAACATCTGGTGTTCACTTTGTGAAACAAGTTTGATCCTGCTGGGGGGACTGGCACACAATGGTGGAATATTGACACTAGATAAAAGATAAAATTTCTCTAAGTTTCTTCTTATTCTAGCCACCTGTTTGCATGTAACTAATATTTTTGTATACTGTTGGTTTTTTTCACGTTAATGCCAGGAGCTCAGGTATAGGGGGCAGTTAGGTTCAGGACCTCAGGTCTGGTAGGGTTAATGTCAGGAGCTTAGGTATAGGGGGCAGTTAGGTTCAGGACCTCAGGTCTGGTAGGGTTAATGTCAGGAGCTCAGGTATAGGTGGTAGTTAGGTTCAGGGCCTCAGGTCAGGTAGGGTTAATGTCAGGAGCTCAGGTATAGGGGGTAGTTAGGTTCAGGGCCTCAGGTCTTGTAGGGTTAATGTGGGGGGGGGGGGGGAATGCGCGCACGTGCACACACACCCACACCAACCGACACATTAAGTATTTAGCTAAATCCATTATTGTCTTCATTAATTTGTCTTATTTATTCATTTAATCTTTACAGTTTTTAAGTAGTTTTCTTCAATAAACTTTTTTTTAAATGTCCTTTTAGAACCACTTTTATTGGTTGCAAAGTATATGTTCACAGTTAGGTTGTAACATTTGTACCTGTATGCATAAATTGTAATATCTGTACTAATGTTTCACATATTTGCAGTAACATTTATTTGTTTCTGTAGAGAGCTGTAGAGAATTAGTCACAAGCTATAGAGAATCAGTCACAAGCTGTAGAAAATCAATCAGTCACAAGCTGTAGAGAATCAGTCACAAGCTATAGAGAATCAGTCACAAGCTGTAGAAAATCTATCAGTCACAAGCTGTAGAAAACCAATCAGTCACAAGCTGTAGAGAATCAGTCACAAGCTATAGAGAATCAGTCACAAGCTGTAGAAAATCAATCAGTCACAAGCTGTAGAAAATCAATCAGTCACAAGCTGTAGAAAATCAACCAGTCACAAGCTGTAGAAAATCAACCAGTCACAAGCTGTGGAAAATCAACCAGCCACAAGCTGTAGGAAATCAGTCACAAGCTGTAGAAAATCAACTAGTCACAAGCTGTAGAAAATCAACCAGTCACAAGCTGTAGAAAATCAATCAGTCACAAGCTGTAGAAAATCAACCAGTCACAAGCTGTAGAAAATCAACCAGCCACAAGCTGTAGGGAATCAGTCACAAGCTGCAGAAAATCAACCAGTCACAAGCTGTAGAGAATCAGTCACAAGCTGTAGAGAATCAGTCACAAGCTATAGAGAATCAGTCACAAGCTATAGAGAATCAGTCACAAACTGTAGAGAATCAGTCACAAGCTATAGAGAATCAGTCACAAGAGGTAGAGAATAAGTCACAAGCTGTAGAGAATCAGTCACAAGCTGTAGAGAATCAAACAGTCACAGGCTGTAGAGAACCAAACAGTCACAAGCTGTAGAGAATCAAACAGTCACAAGCTGTAGAGAATCAAACAGTCTCAAGCTGTAGAGAATCAAACAGTCACAAGCTGTAGAGAATCAAACAGTCACCAGCTGTAGAGAATCAGTCACAAGCTGTAGAGAATCAGTCACAAGCTGTAGAGAATCAAACAGTCACAAGCTGTAGAGAATCAGTCACAGGCTGTAGAGAATCAAACAGTCACCAGCTGTTGAAAATCAAAGTCACAAGCTGTAGAGAATCAAACAGTCACAGGCTGTAGAGAATCAAACAGTCACCAGCTGTAGAGAATCAAACAGTCACCAGCTGTAGAGAATCAAACAGTCACAAGCTTTAGAGAACATATAAACAACCTAGAACATCCCAGAGGCCCACATGTGCAGACAGACACTGACAATATAGAACTTGCCTAATCAGCCAGCCAGACATGACACAGACAATATAGAACTGACCTAATAAGCCAGCCAGACATGACACAGACAATATAGAACTGACCTAATAAGCCAGCCAGACGTGACACAGACAATACAGAACTGACCTAATAAGCCAGCCAGACGTGACACAGACAATATAGAACTGACCTAATAAGCCAGCCTGACGTGACACAGACAATATAGAACTGACCTAATAAGCCAGCCAGACGTGACACAGACAATATAGAACTGACCTAATAAGCCAGCCAGACGTGACACAGACAATATAGAACTGACCTAATAAGCCGGCCAGACGTGACACAGACAATATAGAACTGACACAATAAGCCAGCCAGACGTGACACAGACAATATGTAGACTGACCTAATAAGCCAGCCAGACGTGACACAGACAATATAGAACTGACCTAATAAGCCAGCCAGACATGACACAGACAATATAGAACTGACCTAATAAGCCAGCCAGACGTGACACAGACAATATAGAACTGACCTAATAAGCCAGCCAGACATGACACAGACAATATAGAACTGGCCTAATAATTCAGCCAGACATGAGACAGTTTGATGTTTGTTGGCAGTGCTCTGGAGGAAGCCCATGCTTCTCTGAAGACAGAGAAAGAAGCCCTAGACAAACAACTGTGGGAGGTCAAGGAATCACTGGCTGCAGAACAGGTGGAAGTCAGCAGGCTCAAAACTTTGCTGGAGAATGAGCGGTGCAAGGTTAGTACACGCATCACATCACACGTAGATAATTTGCCTAGTCAAACCAGTATAAATGTTTTTGTTTCTCCAGGTCATGCTGGAGTTTATGCTGCTTTGGGAAATGATCATATAGATAGTTCGGCTGGTTCTGCACCACTTGTTGGTAAACTGATGCATGGAAAGCTAGATATTGTAAGGGTCCTTTGGGAGTGAGTAAACAGTTCAGAGGTATAAATAAAGCATTCTGAAGAGAATGGTGCAGTGAGGAGCGAGACGGACATACAGTCAGACTGTGCTTGCTGCTGAAGATAAGCACAGAGTGCTTATGGGAATGTCCTGAGTGCTAAAAAAGTCACTTCTTAACTTGTAACTCAAACCAGTTTTCCTCTTGGTCTGGCATCATCATCATCAGGTGCCTTGCTGACTGGCGTGGGTGATCATGCCTCTCCATAATCTGCGATCTCCTGCAGCATGTATCAGTTCGTGTGCCGACACACCTCCATGCAATGCAACAAGACTGTCAAGCATCTTCTCTTGTTGTCTTCTTCTATCCTCCTTCCACAGATCTTTCCAGTGGTCACAACATGTTCTATTTTCCCTCTTCTCATAACATGGCCGAAAAATGATGACTATCTCCTTCTGATGTCTGTCTTCTTCTTCTTCGCGTTCACTAGCTGTACACTCTGGCGGAAGGTTCTGGTTGCTCGTCCACTTCTGAACTACAGTCCTGCTCCAGAACCTGAGTGTTGCATCAGTTTTACAGATCTCATTCTCTTGAATACAGACTGTTGGTTCCTTGCCTCTCCGGCAGATGCACTCCGACTTCAAAGGAAGCTCCCCAGTTAGTCGACTCTTACTACATGCTTTTGGGGAGGCAGTGAGTCTATTCTTGTTTTCCCCACAGTGGGGCCCCGGAACCCACACGGGGGTCTGATGTCTGTGATAAGTTGTCTTCGGGCTCCCACAACTTTCAAAACCTCTTGGTTGCTCCTTTTGGCTGTCCAGGGTATTCTAAGCATTCTTCTGTAAAACCACATCTCTGAGGCCTCAAGACATTTTTTTGGCCTGCCTACCGATTGCCGCATAGATCTGTTAATACAGTCAGCTATATATTGTGTAAGTCTATATACACTGTGTCAGTTAAGTCCAGAAAAGGAACATTTTCCTTCTAGAAGCACATTGGACGTAGGGTTCTAGACTCATATGTTTAAAGACCAATTTGATGTCAGCATCATGACACTTTTACTTCCCAGGACTCTTCCTAATACCACTTTTAGGATGAACTGACTTGGGAGCCTGGGGTCACTTATAAATATATGCATTTTCAAAGATTTGACCCCAAGACTTCTGGACTGGCAGGCCAGAATCTGGTTACAGTGCCACTACAACTCCATCACACAGAGTCTCATGTGGGCACTGCTTGTGCCTCCCCCATACAGTCATGTGGACACAGTGCTGGTGTATCCCCCATACAGTCATGTGGACACAGTACTGGTGTCTCCCCCATACAGTCATGTGGACACTGTGCTGGTGTCTCCCCCATACAGTCATGTAGACACAGTGTTGGTGTCTCCCCCATACAGTCATGTAGACACAGTGCTGGTGTCTCCCCCATACAGTCATGTAGACACAGTGTTGGTGTCTCCCCCATACAGTCATGTGGACACTGCTGGTGTCTCCCCCATACAGTCATGTGGACACAGTGCTGGTGTCTCCCCCATACAGTCATGTGGACACTGTGCTGGTGTCTCCCCTATACAGTCATGTGGACACAGTGTTGGTGTCTCCCCCATACAGTCATGTAGACACAGTGCTGGTGTCTCCCCCATACAGTCATGTAGACACAGTGTTGGTGTCTCCCCCATACAGACATGTGGACCCAGTGCTGGTGTCTCCCCCATACAGTCATGTAGACACAGTGCTGGTGTCTCCCCCATACAGTCATGTAGACACAGTACTGGTGCCTCCTCCATACAATCATGTGGACACAGTACTGGTGCCTCCCCCATACAATCATGTAGACACAGTGCTGGTGCCTCCCCCATACAGTCATGTAGACACAGTGCTGGTGCCTCCCCCATACAGTCATGTAGACACAGTGCTGTGTCTCCCCCATACAGTCATGTAGACACAGTGCTGGTGTCTCCCCCATACAGACATGTAGACACAGTGCTGGTGTCTCCCCCATACAGACATGTAGACACAGTACTGGTGCCTCCCCCATACAATCATGTGGACACAGTACTGGTGTCTCCCCCATACAATCATGTAGACACAGTGCTGGTGTCTCCCCCATACAATCATGTGGACACAGTACTGGTGCCTCTCCCATACAATCATGTGGACACAGTACTGGTGTCTCCCCCATACAGTCATGTAGACACAGTGCTGGTGTCTCCCCCATACAGACATGTAGACACAGTGCTGGTGTCTCCCCCATACAGTCATGTAGACACAGTGCTGGTGTCTCCCCCATACAGACATGTAGACACAGTGTTGGTGTCTCCCCCATACAGTCATGTAGACACAGTGCTGGTGTCTCCCCCATACAGTCATGTAGACACAGTGCTGGTGTCTCCCTCATACAGTCATGAAGACACAGTGCTGGTGTCTCCCCCATACAGTCATGTAGACACAGTACTGGTGTCTCCCCCATACAGTCATGTGGACACTGTGCTGGTGTCTCCCCCATACAGTCATGTGGACACTGTGCTGGTGTCTCCCCCATACAGTCATGTAGACACAGTGTTGGTGTCTCCCCCATACAGTCATGTAGACACAGTGCTGGTGTCTCCCCCATACAGTCATGTAGACACAGTGTTGGTGTCTCCCCCATACAGACATGTAGACCCAGTGCTGGTGTCTCCCCCATACAGTCATGTAGACACAGTGCTGGTGTCTCCCCCATACAGTCATGTAGACACAGTACTGGTGCCTCCTCCATACAATCATGTGGACACAGTACTGGTGTCTCCCCCATACAATCATGTAGACACAGTGCTGGTGCCTCCCCCATACAGTCATGTAGACACAGTGCTGGTGCCTCCCCCATACAGTCATGTAGACACAGTGCTGGTGTCTCCCCCATACAGTCATGTAGACACAGTGCTGGTGTCTCCCCCATACAGACATGTAGACACAGTGCTGGTGTCTCCCCCATACAGACATGTAGACACAGTACTGGTGCCTCCCCCATACAATCATGTGGACACAGTACTGGTGTCTCCCCCATACAATCATGTAGACACAGTGCTGGTGTCTCCCCCATACAATCATGTGGACACAGTACTGGTGCCTCCCCCATACAATCATGTGGACACAGTACTGGTGTCTCCCCCATACAGTCATGTAGACACAGTGCTGGTGTCTCCCCCATACAGACATGTAGACACAGTGCTGGTGTCTCCCCCATACAGTCATGTAGACACAGTGCTGGTGTCTCCCCCATACAGACATGTAGACACAGTGTTGGTGTCTCCCCCATACAGTCATGTAGACACAGTGCTGGTGTCTCCCCCATACAGTCATGTAGACACAGTGCTGGTGTCTCCCCCATACAGTCATGTGGACACAGTGCTGGTGTCTCCCCCATACAATCATGTAGACACAGTGTTGGTGTCTCCCCCATACAGTCATGTAGACACAGTGCTGGTGCCTCCCCCATACAGTCATGTAGACACAGTGCTGGTGTCTCCCCCATACAATCATGTGGACACAGTGCTGGTGTCTCCCCCATACAATCATGTAGACACAGTGTTGGTGTCTCCCCCATACAGTCATATAGACAGTGTTGGTGTCTCCCCCATACAGTCATGTAGAGACAGTACTGGTGTCTCCCCCATACAGTCATGTAGACACTGTGCTGGTGTCTCCCCCATACAGACATGTAGACACTGCCTGTGTCTCCCCCATACAGTCACGTAGACACAGTGCTGGTGTCTCCCCCATACAGTCATGTAGACACTGCCTGTGTCTCCCCCATACAGTCATGTAGACACAGTACTGGTGTCTCCCCCATACAGTCATGTGGACACTGTGCTGGTTTCTCCCCCATACAGTCATGTAGACACAGTGCTGGTGTCTCCCCCATACAGTCATGTGGATACAGTGCTGGTGTCTCCCCCATACAGTCATGTAGACATAGTACTGGTGTCTCCCCCATACAGTCATGTGGACACTGTGCTGGTGTCTCCCCCATACAGTCATGTGGACACAGTGCTGGTGTCTCCCCCATACAGTCATGTAGACACAGTACTGGTGTCTCCCCCATACAGTCATGTTTACACTGTGCTGGTGTCTCCCCCATACAGTCATGTGGACACAGTGCTGGTGTCTCCCTCCCCCATACAGTCATGTGGACACAGTGCTGGTGTCTCCCTCCCCCATATAGTCATGTGGACACAGTGCTGGTGTCTCCCTCCCCCATACAGTCATGTAGACACAGTGCTAGTGTCTCCCCCATACAGTCATGTGGACACAGTGCTGGTGTCTCCCCCATACAGTCATGTGGACACTGCTACTGTAACTCCCTCACAGATGGTCTCAGTGGATGCAACAATAATTTTTTTCTCCCTCTCATTGCTTTATTAAAACCATAGCATTTTGTTCTTCTTCTTGTTTTGTTTCTCCAGATCTGTCATCCAGGACCAGTTGTGAACTTTATTTATGTGATATAATAAATCCTTGTTGGAGAGTAGAACATTGTTACATGTTATATAAACTTTTTTTTTTTTTACATCTGACTATGAATTCTGGATAATGTGTAAACATGCTGAAAAACATTTCTTGAGATATCAGAGTGTGATTTTACAGAAGATTGTTTGCACAGCTGAAGTGAGTATCTGTGTTTGGAAAGAGGATTAAGTGCTAAGTCATCACACATAATTGGATACACAAGACAACATAAAATGTGTACCCTCTATCTCCACTTGTTCCCCTCTCAGCTGTGGTTGCTAATCAGTACATGGCACTTTGTTTTCATCGCTGTTTTGGTGGCCTGATGAGTTCCACATTCATTAATAGTTTAAAGTTTTGTTGTGTGATGATCTCTTCTGCCAGCTGTGAAGTTTTGTTTTGAAATATTATTTGTTTGTTTGTTTGTTATATTCTGGAATATTTCATGCAGGTTGCAGAACTGGAGACAGCAAGGCGGGCCCAAGATAAAACTGACCTGGAGGCACTCCTAGATGTGGCCAGGCAAGACAAAGACAGGACAGACCAAAAACTGGCAGATCTAGTAGAGTCTCTGGCTTTTTCTCAATGTGAGCTTGCAAGACTCAAGGAAAGCCTTACTGGCAAGGACCAAGAACTTGCAGGTTACACAGCTTTCTGTCATCTGAAAGTTTTTTGTTTTTTTAATGTGGTTGTGAAGATATGAAAGGAGACTACCTTGATGTTGTTGTTTGTCCATCACGGTCAGGACCACTCTTTCTTTCATTCATCATGGAACTGGTTGATTGTCTGTAAATCTGAGGGTGACTTATAAGCCTGATATAGGTCCGGAAGGATCTAAGTTATTGCGGGGTAGGGAACGGTGTCTGTAGGTAAAGGGTCTCTTATACAGGTATTTCTAGCCTGCCTTCGCTGTTCAGCTGCACTTTTTCAGGGTTTATATTGAAAGCTTTAAGTGATACCTGTAGCATGTTTTTGAAGAAATATTTGTTCTAGCCACCTTGGACACAGTGCTACTGTGTCTCCCTCACACACAGTCTCACATGAACACAGTGCTACTGTGTCTCCCTCACACACAGTCTCACATGAACACAGTGCTACTGTGTCTCCCTCACACACAGTCTCACATGAACACAGTGCTACTGTGTCTCCCTCACACACAGTCTCACATGAACACAGTGCTACTGTGTTTCCCTCACACACAGTCTCACATGAACACAGTGCTACTGTGTCTCCCTCACACACAGTCTCACATGAACACAGTGCTACTGTGTCTCCCTCACACACAGTCTCACATGAACACAGTGCTACTGTGTCTCCCTCACACACAGTCTCACATGAACACAGTGCTACTGTGTCTCCCTCACACACAGTCTCACATGAACACAGTGCTACTGTGTCTCCCTCACACAGTCTTACAGGGACACAGTGCTACTGTGTCTCCCTCACACAGTCTTACAGGGACACAGTGCTACTGTGACTCCCTCACACAGTCTTACAGGGACACAGTGCTACTGTGACTCCCTCAAACACAGTCTTGGGTGGACACAGTGCTACTGTGACTCCCTCACACACAGTCTTGGGTGGACACAGTGCTACTGTGACTCCCTCACACACAGTCTTACAGGGACACAGTGCTACTTTAACTCCCTCACACACAGTCTTGGGTGGACAAAGTGCTACTGTGTCTCCCTCACACAGTCTCACAGGGACACAGTGCTACTGTAACTCCCTCACACACAGTCTTGGGTGGGCACAGTGCTACTGTGACTCCCTCACACTGTCTTACAGGGACACAGTGCTACTGTGACTCACTCACACACAGTCTTAAAGGGACACAGTGCTACTGTGACTCTCTCACACACAGTCTTACAGGGACACAGTGCTACTGTGACTCACTCTCACAGTCTTACAGGGACACAGTGCTACTGTGACTCCCTCACACAGTCTTGGGTGGACACAGTGCTACTGTAACTTCCTCACACAGTCTTACATGGACACAGTGCTACTGTGACTCCCTCACACTGTCTCACATGGACACGGTGCTACTGTGACTCCCTCACACACAGTCTCACATGGACACAGTGCTACTGTGACTCTCTTACACACAGTCTCACATGGACACAGTGCTACTGTGACTCCCTCACACAGTCTTGGGTGGACACAGTGCTACTGTAACTCCCTCACACACACAGTCTGCTTGTATGTTACCAGAAAAGAATACTTTTGTGAGCAAGACATAACAGCAAGGGAAAATGGTGGAGAGAAAATGGTTGAACAAAAAAAAAGAAGATATAGGGAGAAGAAAAGATGAAAATGAACATGTGATAATGGGTTCCTTTGTTTTGTGTGGAGTGTAGTATGTCTGTACTCAGACAATCAGGTAATAGTTGGTGAAGTTATAATACTGGTATAGTAGTGCAGTTACAACAACAAACACAGTACAGTGCTATAAGCAGACTTAAACTATCTAACAGTGTAATTAACACACACACAAAATTACTAATAACATTTATTGTGAAACATTTTAAAGCTCCGTGTTGCTCATCACATGTGCAGTAATGACACCTGAACATACGCCATGATATACACAGTATTTTGACCTGCCAGAAACCAAAGTTACCTCACATAGTAGCCTATCTTTGATTCCAGCAGTGATTTGTTTACGGATGAATGCAGAAACAAAAGACGGTATAACTAGCACACCAAGCACATACTAGGTCTGAAAAGTCTTAGCTACTGACAGTTTTTATGAAATCAGCGCGCTATTTCAGATCATGCAGATAAACAACAAGCACAGACAAATGCAGATATACTTCACAGAGCACTTCAGGACAGGTGAATACAATTTATATCAACTTCATTAACCTGTTTTTTTTTTCTTTTCTTTTCTCTGGTTTCTTGTAGCTGTCAGCAGTAGCGCCAAGACGCAGATTGCTGACCTGCAGTTCAAGTTGGAGGTTGCTGAAAGTGACAAACAGAATGCCGAGAGGGAGGTGAACCTGCTGAGGGAACATATTGACCAGCTCGCTGCAGACTGTGACAGGTGAGGTAGGGAGTGACAGGTGAGGTAACGAGTGACAGGTGAGGTAGGGAGTGACAGGTGAGGTAGGGAGTGACAGGTGAGGTAGGGAGTGACAGGTGAGGTAGGGAGTGACGGTTGCTGTAGGGAGTGACAGGTGCGGTAGGGAATGACAGGGGAGGCAGGGAGTGACGGGTGCAGTAGTGAGTGATGGGTGCGGTAGGGAGTGACAGGTGCGGTAGGGAATGACAGGGGAGGTAGGGAGTGACAGGGGAGGTAGGGAGTGACAGGTGAGGTAAGGAGTGACAGGTGAGGTAAGGAGTGACAGGTGAGGTAGGGAATGACAGGGGAGGTAGGGAATGACAGGGGAGGTAGGGAGTGACAGGGGAGGTAGGGAGTGACAGGGGAGGCAGGGAGTGATGGGTGCAGTAGTGAGTGACGGGTGCTGTAGGGAGTGACGGGTGCTGTAGGGAGTGACAGGTGCAGTAGGGAGGGGTAGGGAGTGACAGGTGCAGTAGGGAGTGACAGGTGCAGTAGGGAGTGACGGGTGCATTAGGGAGGGACAGCTGCGGTAGGGAGTGACAGGTGCGCTAGGGAGGGGTCGGGAGTGACAGGTGAGGTAGGGTGTGACAGGTGCAGTAGGGAGTAACAGGCGCGGTGAGTGACAGACATGGTAGGGAATGACAAGTCAGATGGACAGAAAAGGGAAGTATGGGAGTGATAGGTGCAAAATGAAGGTGCAGGTGAACCATAAAAATGTGAGAGTATCTGAGTGACAGAAGAGTTAGAAAAGTGGTTTCCTAAGTTCTCTAATCTTGTAGCAACAATTTTCTAAACTCTAATCTTGTAGCAACAATTTTCTAAACTCTGATTTTGTAGCAACAATTTTCTGTATTATCTGATCTTGTTTTATCATAGTTTTCTCTTAGTTATGTTATCTTCACAGCACTTCAGACACTGTATTGTCTAATCTTGTAGTAACATAGTTTTTTTTGGGTTCTTTATTCTTGTAGTAACATGGTTTTCTGGGTTCTTTATTCTTGTAGTAACATGGTTTTCTGGGTTCTTTATTCTTGTAGTAACATGGTTTTCTGGGTTCTTTATTCTTGTAGTAACATGGTTTTCTGGGTTCTTTATTCTTGTAGTAACATGGTTTTCTGGGTTCTTTATTCTTGTAGTAACATGGTTTTCTGGGTTCTTTATTCTTGTAGTAACATGGTTTTCTGTGTTGTGTAACTTGCAGTCACCTTGAAGCCAAACAGAATTTGACCTCTACACTTCAGGAGGTTCAGTCTGAGCTGAAGAACATCAAACAGCAGAAACAGATGATGGAAGCAGAATTGCATGAGGTACTGCTTTCACATGTTCACTTTCTAAAATTGCTTTGATCTTTAAAGATCTGTTAAACATTTCTGTAGTGTTATTCAAAGCAGCTGATACTTACAATGTAAAAATGTGGGCTCCAAAACCCATGTGAGGGAGGGGAAGAAAGCCTAGACGTACTACTGCTCTACAACAAGCATACAGAACCCATGTGAGGGAGGGGAGGAAAGCATAGACGTACTACTGCTCCACAACAAGCATACAGAACCCATGTGAGGGAGGGGAAGAAAGCATAGACGTACTACTGCTCCACAACAAGCATACAGAACCCATGTGAGGGAGGGGAGGAAAGCCTAGACGTACTATTGCTCCACAACAAGCATACAGAACCCATGTGAGGGAGGGGAGGAAAGCCTAGACATACTACTGCTCCACAACAAGCATACAGAACTCATGTGAGGGAGGGGAGGAAAGCCTAGACGTACTATTGCTCCACAACAAGCATACATAACCCATGTGAGGGAGGGGAGGAAAGCCTAGACATACTACTGCTCCACAACAAGCAGGTTGTAACAGTTGACTATTTAGGAGTTTTGATAATAGGCACTGAAATGGGAACAGAGGAATTGAGAAGATGAGTATATCTCAGAGAAACCCCAAGGTGAAGGTTGAGAGAAGCTAAAGATGCTGGACTGGGTTCCATCCATAATATCGAAGTATGTTCACAGATTAGAACCAAATAGAGGAATAGACTATGAATCCTATGTGATATGTAATGGCACAGCAGGGCAGTGAGTGAATGAATGAAAGAGAGGTGCAGATATTGCAACCTAACTATAAGTCGCACAACATGCCAGTTATCTTTTTAAGAACGAACATAGAAGAAGAAGAAGTTACGTTTAGTTAACAGTTTTCATGTAAAGGAGTAAAAATATTAAGACAGTGGGACAGAAGAGTTTCCAGTAACTGTTTGGTTAAGGTAACACTTGCCTGAGACAGGGGAATCCAAACACTTGCCTGGGACAGGGAAAGCCAAACACTTGGGACAGGGAAATCCAAACACTTGCCTGGGACAGGGGAATCCAAACACTTGCCTGGGACAGGGAAATCCAAACACTTGGGACAGGGGAATCCAAACACTTGCCTGGGACAGGGGAATCCAAACACTTGCCTGAGACAGGGGAATCCAAACACTTGCCTGGGACAGGGGAATCCAAACACTTGCCTGAGACAGGGGAATCCAAACACTTGCCTGGGACAGGGAAAGCCAAACACTTGGGACAGGGGAATCCAAACACTTGCCTGGGACAGGGGAATCCAAACACTTGCCTGAGACAGGGGAATCCAAACACTTGCCTGGGACAGGGAACGCCAAACACTTGCCTGGGACAGGGAAAGCCAAACACTTGCCTGGGACAGGGAAAGCCAAACACTTGGGACAGGGGAATCCAAACACTTGCCTGGGACAGGGAAAGCCAAACACTTGGGTCAGGGGAATCCAAACTCTTGCCTGGGACAGGGGAATCCAAACACTTGCCTGGGACAGAGGAAGCCAAACACTTGGGACAGGGAAAGCCAAACACTTGCCTGGGACAGAGGAAGCCAAACACTTGCCTAGGGGCAGAGGGAGCCAAACACTTGCCTGGGACAGAGGAAGCCAATCACTTGGGACAGAGGAAGCCAAACACTTGCCTGGGACAGGGGAAGCCAAACACTTGCCTGGGACAGAGGGAGCCAAACACTTGCCTGGGACAGAGGAAGCCAAGCACTTGCCTGGGACAGGGGAAGCCAAACACTTGCCTGAGACAGGCAAAGCCAAACACTTTCCTGAGACAGGCAAAGCCAAACACTTTCCTGGGACAGGGGAAGCCAAACACTTTGGACAGGGGAATCCAAACACTTGCCTGGGACAGAGGAAGTCAAACACTTGCCTGGGACAGGGGAAGCCAAACACATGCTTGGGACAGGGAAAGCCAAACACTTGGGACAGGGGAAGTGAAACACTTTCCTGGGACAGGGAAAGCTAAACACCTGGGACAGCCAATGTAATGACCATGTAATGAAGTCAGGTAGGTGGTGTTTCTCTTCCAGTGTTTAGGATCAACACACCTCAGGGACTTTCTGTTTATGTGAAAAAACTTTCTCCAGCATGTCCGTGATAATAAAAAAGAAAAGAAACGATTTACCTTTTTTTTTCCACTGATTAGTTATTTGTATTTGCACTTTAGTTTGTTGCATTCTTTTTTGTCTTGACATTAGCTGAACATGCCCTAACATCAGCTGAACATGCCCTAACATCAGCTGAACATATCCCAACATCAGCTGAACATGCCCTAACATCAGCTGAACATACCCTAACATCAGCTGAACATATCCCAACATTAGCTGAACATACCCTAACATCAGCTGAACGTACCCTAACATCAGCTGAACATATCCTAACATCAGCTGAACATACCCTAACATCAGCTGAACATGCCCTAACATCAGCTGAGCATGCCCTAACATCAGCTGAACATATCCCAACATTAGCTGAAAATGCCCTAACATCAGCTAAACATGCCCTAACATCAGCTGAACATGCCCTAACATCAGCTGAACATATCCTAACATCAGCTGAACATGCCCTAACATCAGCTGAACATATCCTAACATCAGCTGAACATGCCCTAACATCAGCTGAACATGCCCTAACATCAGCTGAACATGCCCTAACATCAGCTGAACATGCCCTGACATCAGCTGAACATGCCCTAACATCAGCTGAACATATCCCAACATCAGCTGAACATACCCTAACATCAGCTGAACATGCCCTAACATCAGCTGAACATACCCTAACATCAGCTGAACATACCCTAACATCAGCTGAACATGCCCTAACATCAGCTGAACATGCCCTGACATCTACTGAGCATGCCTTAACATTAGCTGAAGTTGCCGTAACATCAGCTGAACATACCCTAACATCAGCTAAAATGCCCTAACATCAGATGAACATGCCCTAACATCAGGTGAACATGCCCTGACATCAACTGAACATGCCCTGACATCAGCTGAACATGCTTTAACATCAGCTGAACATGCTTTAACATCAGCTGAACATGCCCTAACATCAGCTGAACATGCCCTAACAGCTGAATATGCCCTAACATCAGCTGAACATGCCCTAACAGCTGAATATGCCCTAACATCAGCTGAACATGCCCTAACATCAGCTGAACATGCCCTAACAGCTGAACATGCCCTAACATCAGCTGAACATGCCCTAACATCAGCTGAACAAGCCCTAACATCAGCTGAACATGCCCTAACATCAAATAAACATGCCCTAACATCAGCTGAACATACCCTAACGGCTGAACATACCCTAACATCAAATAAACATTCCCTAACATCAGCTGAACATGCCCTAACATCAGCTGAACATGCCCTAACAGCTGAACTTGCCCTAACATCAGCTGAACATACCCTAACATCAGCTGAACATGCCCTAACATCAGCTGAACATGCCCTAACATCAGCTGAACATGCCCTAACATCAGCTGAACATGCCCTAACAGCTGAACTTGCCCTAACATCAGCTGAACATACCCTAACAGCTGAACATACCCTAACATCAAATAAACATGCCCTAACATCAGCTGAACATGCCCTAACATCAGCTGAACATGCCCTAACATCAGCTGAACATGCACTAACATCAGCTGAACATGCCCTAACATCAGCTGAACATGCCCTAACATCAGCTGAACAAGCCCTAACATCAGCTGAATATGCCCTAACATCAAATAAACATGCCCTAACATCAAATAAACATGCCCTAACATCAGCTGAACATGCCCTAACATCAAATAAACATGCCCTAACATCAGCTGAACATGCCCTAACATCAGCTGAACATGCCCAAACATCAGATAAACATGCCTTAACATTAGCTGAAGTTGCCCTAACATCAGCTGAACATACCCTAACATCAGCTGAAATGCCCCAACATCAGGTGAACATGCCCTAACATCAGCTGAACATATCCCAACATCAGCTGAACATACCCTAACATCAGCTGAACATGCCCTAACATCAGCTGAACATACCCTAACATCAGCCGAACATACCCTAACATCAGCTGAAATGCCCTAACATCAGGTGAACATGCCCTAACATCAGCTGAACATACCCTAACATCAGCTGAAATGCCCTAACATCAGCTGAACATGCCCTAACATCAGCTGAACATGCCCTAACATCAGCTGAACATGCCCCAACATCAGGTGAACATGCCCCAACATCAACTGAACATGCCCTAACATCAGCTGAACATGCCCTAACATCAGCTGAACATGCCCTAACATCAGCTGAACATGCCCTAAAATCAGCTGAACATGCCCTAACATCAGCTGAATATGCCTTAACATCGCCTAAACATACCCAATGTCCTGTGAGCAGATCGAAGCTCTTGAGCTCCTGGCTGCTATTACAACAGCCATTACTGTTCACATTCTAAGCAACTGAATAATTTGGGAAAATAAATATATGTTTACTGAATTTAGTTTGTGATCATATTAACGCACGTACATTCGTTTCAGATAAGTTCTCGACACAACATGGAATCTGAAGAATGGAAGCAGTTCCAGAGAGATTTGCAGACGGCTGTGGTGATTGCAAACAATTTTAGCCAAGAAACCCAGGAGAAGATGGAGCGACTGACTGTTGAAAATGCACAAGTCCACGAACAGATGGCTGCTCTGAAAGTGGACTTTGACAAGCTGTTGCAGGAGAACAGAATTCTTAAGCAGACGTCGGAAGACTTCTCACCGAGAAAACATTCGATTTTAACTAATGCAGAGTTCAAGGGCAAGGTAAGAAAGAGTTGATTGGCTGGTGGTAACCTTCTGGAAGACAGTGTTAACCTTCTGGAAGACAGTGTTAACCTTCTGGAAGACAGTGTTAACCTGCTGGAAGACAGTGTTAACCTGCTGGAAGACAGTGTTAACCTTCTGGAAGACAGTGTTAACCTTCTGGGAGACAGTATTAACCTTCTGGAAGACAGTGTTAACCTTCTTGAAGACTGAGGGTTCCAGGGCCAATGTTAGGAGAGGTAGGGGGGAATAAAAGACCTTCTGCCACCAACTAGCATATTGTTAGGGGGAGCTTTTTAGGGCTTTGTTGAAATTTGAAATATCGGGACATAAAAGGGAGGATATCGCACCCTAGCTGTAAACTACAACATAAATTACCAACCGATCTTTTAAGGACAAACAAAGAAATGGAAGTTAAACAAGCGTTTGCTGTTGTTCATTTAGGGTTGATAATGTGATCTGACAGTTGTTGCATGTTGTCTCATGTAAGAGTTTTACCAGCAGTAGTACATTTGATGATATGGTAGTGGAAACACATTTTTTGGTGATACCATCTGATGTATGATGGCTCTGAACATTTTGTTTGTTGTTGTTGTTCTTCTTCTTCTTATTCTTCTCCTTCTCTTCTTCTTCCTCTTCTTCTTCTCCTCTTCTTCTTCTTCTTCTTTTTCATCTTCACCTCCTCCTCCTCTTCTTTTCCTTCTTCTTCTTCTTCTTTTTCATCTTTGCCTCCTCCTCCTCTTCTTTTCCTTCTCCTTCTTCTTCTTCTTCTTCTTCTTCTTCTTCTTCTTTTTCTTCTTCTTCTCCTCCTTCTCTTCTTCTTCCTTTTTTTCTTCTCCTCCTCCTCTTCTTTTCCTTCTCCTTCTTCTTCTTCTCATCCTCATCCTCCTTCTTCTTTTTCTTCACATTCACCAGCTGTAAATCAGCCTGTGTATTGCATGCACATTCATTTTACGAATCTGGCTTAATTTTGTGCAGACTTTTGGTTCTTTGCCTGTCAGGCAGGTGTACTCCAACTTTGAAGAAATCTCCCCCCCCCCCCCCCCCTCCCAATCATTGGACACATACAACAAGCTTTTGTGGAGGCAGTGAACCTTTTCTTGTTTTCCCCCCTAAGAAATACCTCTGTTTTCCCCCTAAGAAATACCTCTTGTTTTCCCCTAAGAAATACCTCTGTTTTCCCCCTAAGAAATTCCTCTGTTTGACTCTGTTGGGTTGATTGATATTATTGAGAACAGTGCCAACACATTGATAGACCTTTCAAGGAGGTCAGCAGTGGCACTGTAGGCTTTTCAACACACAAGGGACAAGATAGGCAGATTTTGTCCCAGGTTACAGCTGGCGTCATTAGCAAGGGACATTTATTCAGACAGATTGGTTAAGAAATTCCTGAATACATATTTGCAGGTCCTAACTACAATGGACAGAGAACTAGCTGCTTTAAGAGAGGGTCGGCCACATCTGGATCAGCGTAGTCAGAGCATTTCAGTCAAGTCTCTCATCCGTTCCATTGAGGAGCAAGTCAAGTCTGGCTGTTCTTCCATTGTTTCAAGTCATTCAGAGTCTCGCAGAAGTTCCACCTCTTCCGAAGCATCTCTGAAAGACCTGGCCAAACCGACATCGCCTCAGCCCACGCCAGATAGTCCGAGATCACCAACTAAAGAATTTAACCTGAGGACTTCTGGTTTTAAGACAAGGTCAATGGAGAGGTCGCCCCAACCGAGGCACATCCCGGGAAGTGGGGTCAGTGGAGGGATCACTAGCCCTGAAGGTACTGGAAAAGGATTGCAGGGGTCTAGAGTGGATGGCAGTGAGTCTGGGGGTAGTAAAACCACTCCACAGATATCATCCATTCTCAAGGACAGAAGTACGCCCAGGCGAGGCAGTGGGATCATGTAAGTACAACATCATTCTGTAATTGGTTAGAAGCCATGTCAAAAGATAACCAACTTAAAGCTAAGATGCTTTTATGAGGTGTTACTACAGCATATTGGCCTTGAATGGCTAATCTCAATGTAACTGTTGACAATATGTGTCTGACAGATATCTGTGTGGTCTGACTTCTCAATGTAACTGTTGACAATATGTGTCTGACAGATATCTGTGTGGTCTGACTTCTCAATGTAACTGTAGACAATATGTGGTCTGACAGATATCTGTGTGGTCTGACTCAATGTAACTGTTGACAATATGTGTTCTGACAGATATCTTGTGTGGTCTGACTTCTCAATGTAACTGTAGACAATATGTGTCAGATATCTGTGTGGTCTGACTTCTCAATGTAACTGTTGACAATATGTGTCTGACAGATATCTGTGTGGTCTGACTTCTCAATGTAACTGTTGACAATATGTGTCTGACAGATATCTGTGTGGTCTGACTTCTCAATGTAACTGTAGACAATATGTGACTGACAGATATCTGTGTGGTCTGACTTCTCAATGTAACTGTTGACAATATGTGTCTGACAGATATCTGTGTGGTCTGACTTCTCAATGTAACTGTTGACAATATGTGTCTGACAGATATCTGTGTGGTCTGACTTCTCAATGTAACTGTAGACAATATGTGTCTGACAGATATCTGTGTGGTCTGACTTCTCAATGTAACTGTTGACAATATGTGTCTGACAGATATCTGTGTGGTCTGACTTCTCAATGTAACTGTTGACAATATGTGTCTGACAGATATCTGTGTGGTCTGACTTCTCATGTAACTGTAGACAATATGTGTCTGACAGATATCTGTGTGGTCTAACTTCTCAATGTAACTGTTGACAATATGTGTCTGACAGATATCTGTGTGGTCTGACTTCTCAATGTAACTGTTGACAATATGTCTGACAGATATCTGTGTGGTCTGACTACTCAATGTAAGACAACTGTTGACAATACTGTGTGTCTGACAGATATCTGTTGTATGGTCTGACTATCTCAATGTCTCACTGTTTGACAATATGTGTCTGACAGATATCTGTGTGGTCTGACTTCTCAATGTAACTGTAGACAATATGTGTCTGACAGATATCTGTGTGGTCTGACTACTCAATGTAACTGTTGACAATATGTGTCTGACAGATATCTGTGTGGTCTGACTACTCAATGTAACTGTTGACAATATGTGTCTGACAGATATCTGTGTGGTCTGACTACTCAATGTAACTGTTGACAATATGTGTCTGACAGATATCTGTGTGGTCTGACTTCTCAATGTAACTGTTGACAATATGTCTGACAGATACTGTGTGGTCTAACAAGACTGAAAAAGGTTTAACTGGCACATTGTTGTTTGCTCACTGAGATAATTTATCTTGTTTAAAAGTCATCTATTTACCCTTTGAACTTGATAAATGTCATCAAGAATTATATCTATTGGTGCTTAAGTGTTGTAGGATTCTGGGAAGGCTGTCAGTTTGTTGGTGGCACTGACTTTGACCAGGGAAACATTAGACTATTACCTTTGTTGTAACCACTCTTTTGAAGTGTTGAGTCTTCATTTGACATTATGATGAAAATTCCTTAACAGGTCTATAAATTATTATTGAATGTGCTCGGGGAATGATAAAAAAGTAAAGGACCCTTTTCCACACCTTTAGGCTTATAGGGCATATAGGGCTAGCCCTTTATTTTATAGACTAATCGGCACAAGGTGGGTGATGTGGTCAGCATCACACCGGCCGTGGGGAATGATGCATTAGTATTATTTTTTTAGGGGGATGGGTGTGTATATATTGACCCTATTAGGACAAGAGTCATTGTCAGGGGTCGAGAGGCAGGTACAAGTGTCAAAGGACGTATGTACAAGGTCATCTCAGCTGCCCTCACATATATTCTCACTGCCTGGTAGCTGGCTAGGCTCTCACTGCCTGGTAGCTGCCTAGGCTCTCACTGCCTGGTAGCTGGCTAGGCTCTCACTGCCTGGTAGCTGCCTAGCCTCTCACGTCCTGGTAGCTGGCTAGGCTCTCACTGCCTGGTAGCTGGCTAGGCTCTCACTGCCTGATAGCTGGCTAGGCTCTCACGTCCTGGTAGCTGGCTAGGCTCTCACTGCCTGGTAGCTGGCTAGGCTCTCACATCCTGGTAGCTGGCTAGGCTCTCACTGCCTGGTAGCTGGCTAGGCTCTCACGTCCTGGTAGCTGGCTAGGCTCTCACTGCCTGGTAGCTGGCTAGGCTCTCACGTCCTGGTAGCTGGCTAGGCTCTCACGTCCTGGTAGCTGGCTAGGCTCTCACTGCCTGGTATCTGGCTAGGCTCTCACTGCCTGGTAGCTGCCTAGGCTCTCACGTCCTGGTAGCTGCCTAGGCTCTCACGTCCTCGTAGCTGGCTAGGCTCTCACTGCCTGGTAGCTGGCTAGGCTCTCACTGCCTGGTAGCTGCCTAGGCTCTCACGTCCTGGTAGCTGGCTAGGCTCTCACTGCCTGGTAGCTGGCTAGGCTCTCACTGCCTGGTAGCTGCCTAGGCTCTCACGTCCTGGTAGCTGCCTAGGCTCTCACTGCCTGGTAGCTGGCTAGGCTCTCACTGCCTGGTAGCTGGCTAGGCTCTCACTGCCTGGTAGCTGCCTAGGCTCTCACTGCCTGGTAGCTGCCTGTGCTCTCACTGCCTGGTAGCTGGCTAGGCTCTCACTGCCTGGTAGCTGGCTAGGCTCTCACTGCCTGGTAGCTGGCTAGGTTCTCACTGCCTGGTAGCTGCCTAGGCTCTCACGTCCTGGTAGCTGCCTGTGCTCTCACTGCCTGGTAGCTGGCCGGGCTCTCATGTCCTGGTAGCTGGCCAGGCTCTCACTGCCTGGTAGCTGCCTAGGCTCTCACTGCCTGGTAGCTGGCTAGGCTCTCACTGCCTAGTAGCTGGCTAGGCTCTCACTGCCTGGTAGCTGCCTAGGCTCTCACTGTCTGGGAGCTGCCTAGGCTCTCACTGCCTGTAGCTGCCTAGGCTCTCACTGCCTGGTAGCTGCCTAGGCTCTCACTGCCTGGTAGCTGCCTAGGCTCTCACTGCCTGGTAGCTGCCTAGGCTCTCACTGCCTGGTAGCTGGCTAGGCTCTCACTGCCTGGTAGCTGCCTAGGCTCTCACTGCCTGGTAGCTGCCTAGGCTCTCACGTCCTGGTAGCTGCCTGTGCTCTCACTGCCTGGTAGCTGCCTAGGCTCTCACTGCATGGTAGCTGCCTAGGCTCTCACTGCATGGTAGCTGCCTAGGCTCTCACTGCCTGGTAGCTGCCTAGGCTCTCACGTCCTGGTAGCTGCCTAGGCTCTCACTGCCTGGTAGCTGCCTAGGCTCTCACGTCCTGGTAGCTGCCTAGGCTCTCACTGCCTGGTAGCTGCCTAGGCTCTCACGTCCTGGTAGCTGCCTAGGCTCTCACTTTCCCGGAAATTTAAGAAAACTGAACTTGTTAAAACATGATTTTTCGGTAATTTAGGATATTTTCTGCTGTTCTAAGGGATTTCAAAGTATGAGAAAGAGAATTCTGTAAATGTCTGCAATCATTTATAGTAAACTGCAGGTGCATGATATCTTGATCCATTAAAATATTTGACTTTAAGACCATGCCAGGTTGCTGATTGTAGCAAATGTGCCTGATTGTTAAAAAAAAAAAAAGACAATATTACCAGCAAGAAATGAAAATTATGCAGAAAACATTTTTGTCAAGCATGACAGAAAGAGCACCTTGTTCAAATGTCAAATTATCAAATCGACCAATAATTTATTTCAAATATCCCTATATTTGTTTGTCCTCAGTGAAGTTGATGCATGCAAAAAGGAGACACTAGGTCGGGACCCTCTCTCTTCCCTGGCCAAGTTGATGAAGGGATCCAAGAGGAACGCTCTGCTCAAATGGTGCCAGATCAAGACTATCCCATACTCAGTAAGGGGAATTGTTCTTGTAACCCCAGCTGTGTGGTGCTAGTTGTTTCTTGCAACCCCAGCTGTGTGATGCTAGTAGTTTCTTGCAACCCCAGCTGTGTGATGCTAGTAGTTTCTTGTAACCCCAGCTGTGTCATGCTAGTAGTTTCTTGCAACCCCAGCTGTGTGATGCTAGTAGTTTCTTGTAACCCCAACTGTGTCATGCTAGTAGTTTCTTGCAACCCCAGCTGTGTGATGCTTGTAGTTTCTTGTAACCCCAGCTGTGTCATGCTAGTAGTTTCTTGCAACCCCAGCTGTGTCATGCTAGTAGTTTCTTGTAACCCCAGCTGTGTGATGCTAGTAGTTTCTTGCAACCCCAGCTGTGTGATGCTAGTAGTTTCTTGTAACCCCAGCTGTGTCATGCTAGTAGTTTCTTGCAACCCCAGCTGTGTGATGCTAGTAGTTTCTTGTAACCCCAGCTGTGTCATGCTAGTAGTTTCTTGCAACCCCAGCTGTGTGATGCTAGTAGTTTCTTGCAACCCCAGCTGTGTGATGCTAGTAGTTTCTTGTAACCCCAACTGTGTCATGCTAGTAGTTTCTTGCAACCCCAGCTGTGTGATGCTTGTAGTTTCTTGTAACCCCAGCTGTGTCATGCTAGTAGTTTCTTGCAACCCAGCTGTGTGGTGCTAGTTGTTATGTTATTCCACAGCCTTCTGTCTTTCTTATAGCCCAGACTATGTAATGCTAATTGACATTTTTATGCTTGACAGTACTTCTTTAGCTTGACAGTACTGCTTTATCTTGATAGTACTACTTTAGCTTAACAGTACTGCTTTATCTTGATAGTACTGCTTTATCTTGACAGTACTGCTTTAGCTTGACAGTACTGCTTTATCTTGATAGTACTGCTTTAGCTTGACAGTACTGCTTTAGCTTGACAGTACTGCTTTATCTTGATAGTAATGCTTTAGCTTGACAGTACTGCTTTAGCTTGACAGTACTGCTTTATCTTGACAGTACTGCTTTAGCTTGACAGTACTTCTTTAACTTGACAGTATTGCTTTATCTTGATAGTACTGCTTTAGCTTGATAGTACTGCTTTAGCTTGACAGTACTGCTTTAGCTTGACAGTACTGCTTTATCTTGACAGTACTGCTTTAGCTTGACAGTACTGCTTTAGCTTGACAGTACTGCTTTATCTTGATAGTACTGCTTTATCTTGACAGTACTGCTTTATCTTGACAGTACTGCTTTAGCTTGACAGTACTGCTTTAGCTTGACAGTACTGCTTTAGCTTGGCAGTACTGCTTTAGCGAACATAAAATTGCCTCGTGAAATCACAGACAACCAACAAATGCTGGGGTTTGTTCTGCAAAGACCTGTAAAGAACATGCCCCTAACTTTACAATACCTTTATGTTCACAGTGTACCTTATAGCAGGACATTAATGTTCACAGTGTACCTTATAGCAGGACATTAATGTTCACAGTGTACCTTATAGCAGAACATTAATGTTCACAGTGTACCTTATAGCAGGACATTAATGTTCACAGTGTACCTTATAGCAGAACATTAATGTTCACAGTGTACCTTATAGCAGAACATTAATGTTCACAGTGTACCTTATAGCAGAACATTAATGTTCACAGTGTACCTTATAGCAGAACATTAATGTTCACAGTGTACTTTATAGCAGAACATTAATGTTCACAGTATATTTTCAGCACTATATACAAATATTCTTATTCTTATTTGCACCCCCCCCCCCCTTTCCCCCAAACAAAACTGCCAATAACTGCCTTTATTACCACTTGTGTGGTGTATGCGGGGGGGTATTTAAGTTTGAGGATTTAAGGCCGCATGGCTAGTGCTGTCGCCATGACTGTGCAGGTGAAGATTTGATTTTGCCTCCGACAGAAAAAATCCCCAGCCTTACCCAGGATTCAAACCCTGGTCTCCTGCTGGAGAGCCCAGTGTTCCAACCACTCAGTCCTGGTTGTTTGTCCACTTCTCGACTTTAGTCTTGTTGCAGAACTTGAGTTTTGCATTTACATCCATTTTACAGACCTCGCTTATTTGTATGCAGACTGTTGGTTCCTTGCCTCCCTGGTATTTACACTCCAACTTCATAGGATGTCTCCCCCTCCCCCCCAGTCGACTCTTACAACTACGGCAGAAGTGGGTCTATTTTCGTTGGACCCACAAGGGGGACCCAGTACCCACATGTAGAGTACATGTATTGAGTACAGCAGCTTGTTCAGCATTCTTTGATTCCAAACATGTTTGTCTTGGAGTTGACAAAGCTCGTCTAACAAGAGATCCATCTGCCGGGGCAACACATGCTGTCTACAGTAGTGTCCAGGCTTTATGTTATGGAGAGTCCTCAGTTGGTGCTGCCATAGGCTGTGTTTCCTACGCCTTCCTGTAACATAATAGAACATTGGTCTAGAAAGGTAGAAAAGGGGCAGCACTACACTTTACAGTAGACCCATCCTTCTGATAGGGAACAGTCTCTCTGGTGTGCATAGACATGTAGCATGCTTAGGGAACAGATCCAGGGGAAGGAGGTCAAGCGCGAATTTCTGAAAGCTGTCCATGCATTCAGTAGATAAATGTATCTTGCTTTTGTGTTTACAGTTTTTATTATAAGTGATCTAATGCTACAAGTAGTTGTTTGTGTGATCCTCTGCGTTGGCTTTTAAACATATTGCTTTATAAAACAATTTTTTTTTTATGGAGTTAACTTGGTTGCTCATCAGATGGTTGTTTGGGTCTGACCTGATTGCAGTGAAGTTGAAGCCTTGATTAAGACTAAGACTCACCAGATTTGATCTGTGAAGATCAGTCTTTCCCTGCTCAGCAACTAGTCAGCTGCCAAGGCTGTGAAGAAGATCAGTCTTTCCCTGCTCAGCAACTAGTCAGCTGCCAAAGCTGTGAAGAAGATCAGTCTTTCCCTGCTCAGCAACTAGTCACCTGCCAAGGCTGTGAAGAAGATCAGTCTTTCCCTGCTCAGCAACTAGTCACCTGCCAAGGCTGTGAAGAAGATCAGTCTTTCCCTGCTCAGCAACTAGTCACCTGCCAAGGCTGTGAAGAAGATCAGTCTTTCCCTGCTCAGCAACTAGTCACCTGCCAAGGCTGTGAAGAAGATCAGTCTTTCCCTGCTCAGCAACTAGTCAGCTGCCAAGGCTGTGAAGAAGATCAGTCTTTCCCTGCTCAGCAACTAGTCAGCTGCCAAGGCTGTGAAGAAGATCAGTCTTTCCCTGCTCAGCAACTAGTCAGCTGCCAAGGCTGTGAACCAGGGGCTGAGCTCAAATTCTCAGGCACAGTCTTCAGAGCAAAAGGCAGATCATTAAACCAACATTGCTGTGGGGACTCCTACAGGCAGATCATTAAACCAACATTGTTGTGGGGACTCCTGAGACAGGTCATTAAACCAACATTGCTGTGGGGACTCCTGAGGCAGATCATTAAACCAACATTGTTGTGGGGACTCCTGAGGCAGATCATTAAACCAACATTGTTGTGGGGACTCCTGAGGCAGATCATTAAAAACCAACATTGCTGTGGGGACTCCTACAGGCAGATCATTAAACCATTATTGTTGTGGGGACTCCTAGAGGCAGATCATTAAACCAACATTGTTGTGGGGACTCCTACAGGCAGATCATTAAACCAACATTGTTGTGGGGACTCCTACAGGCTGATCATTAAACCAATTTGCTTGGAGACTCCTGAGGCATTGCATGATGCTACTGTGCAGTTTTCTAGAGCTAATTGTATGTTTAAAGTAGCCACACAGAATTTTGTGTTTAAAGTAGCCACACAGAATTGTATGTTTAGAGTAGCCACACAGAATTGTATGTTTAGAGTAGCCACACAGAATTGTGTGTTTAGAGTAGCCACACAGAATTTTGTGTTTAAAGTAGCCACACAGAATTGTGTATTTAGAGTAGCCACACAGAATTGTATGTTTAAAGTAGCCACACAGAACTGTGTGTTTAAAGTAGCTACACAGAATTGTGCATTTAAAGTAGCCACACATAATTGTTTGTTTAAAGTACTATTAAAATAAATATGTGTATTTAAAGTAAAAACGTAAGTGTAGCAGTGCTGAATGTGTGTATTTAAAGTAGTGATAAATATTTGTGTTTGAAGCTGTGATAGGACTGAAAGTACGGATGCTTGTTTGTTTAAAGTAGACATTAATGTGCCTAAAGTAGTGATAAATATTTGTGTTTGAAGCTGTGATAGGACTGAAAGTACTGATGCTTGTTTGTTTAAAGTAGACATTAATGTGCCTAAAGTAGTGATAAATATTTGTGTTTGAAGCTGTGATAGGACTGAAAGTACGGATGCTTGTATGTTTAAAGTAGACTTTAATGTGCCTAAAGTAGTGATAAATATTTGTGTTTGAAGCTGTGATAGGACTGAAAGTACTGATGCTTGTTTGTTTAAAGTAGACTTTAATGTGCCTAAAGTAGTGATAAATATTTGTGTTTGAAGCTGTGATAGGACTGAAAGTACGGATGCTTGTTTGTTTAAAGTAGTGATAAATATTTGTGTTTGAAGCTGTGATAGGACTGAAAGTACGGATGCTTGTTTGTTTAAAGTAGACTTTAATGTGCCTAAAGTAGTGATAAATATTTGTGTTTGAAGCTGTGATAGGACTGAAAGTACGGATGCTTGTTTGTTTAAAGTAGACATTAATGTGCCTAAAGTAGTGATAAATATTTGTGTTTGAAGCTGTGATAGGACTGAAAGTACGGATGCTTGTTTGTTTAAAGTAGACATTAATGTGCCTAAAGTAGTGATAAATATTTGTGTTTGAAGCTGTGATAGGACTGAAAGTACGGATGCTTGTTTGTTTAAAGTAGACATTAATGTGCCTAAAGTAGTAATAAATATTTGTGTTTGAAGCTGTGATAGGACTGAAAGTACGGATGCTTGTTTGTTTAATGTAGACATTTATGTGCATAAAGTAGTGATAAATGCTTGTGTTTACAGAAGTAAAAAATATGTGTTTCAAATAGTGATAGAACTGTGTTTAAAGTAGTTATAAATGTATGTGTGTTTAAAGAAGTGATAAATGTGTGTGTTTAAATTAGTGATAGAATTGTGTATTTAAAATGAGGATAGAGATATATGTGTGTAGACCAGATAGGATTGTGAGTGTAAAGTGGTGATAGCATCGTGCAGGTAAAGTAGTGATATAGTTATATGTTTAAAGAAGGATAGAATCATGTGTGTACAGTCATGATATAATTGTGAGTATAAAGTAGTGATATAGCTATATATTTAAAGAAGGGATAGAGTCATGTATGTACAGTCGTGATAGAATTCTGAGTATAAAGTAGTGATAGTTATATGTTTAAAGAAGGGATAGAATCATGTGTGTACAATTGTAATAGAATTGTGAGTATAAAGTAGTGATATAGTTATATGTTTAAAGAAGGGATAGAATCATGTATATACAGTCGTAATAGAATTGTGAATATAAAGTAGTGATATAGTTATATGTTTAAAGAAGGGATAAAGTCATGTGTGTTCAGTCGTGATAGAATTGTGAGTATAAAGTAGTGATAGAATCGTGCAAGTAAAGTAGCAGTTTTATTATGCGTTTAAAGTAGAGAAAGAATTGTGTGTGTAAAGTAGTTTGGGAACCATGAGTCTAAATTATAAGGTTGTATGCATACACCAGTGTTCGAATTGTGTGCATAAGTAATGGTAGATTACTATGTTATAACTGAGTGATTTAATTGTATATTTAACATTGTGAAAGAATTGTCTTGTGTCGTTTCTAGAATGTGGACATCACCAACTTCAGCAGCAGCTGGATTGATGGGCTGGGCTTCTGTGCCTTGTTGCACAGTTATGTCCCAGAGAGGATTCCTTACTCGGAGCTCACCTCGGAGGATAAGGTAAACAATCTTCTAGATGATTGTCAACATTTCACTCAGCTTTGAGAAAATGTCCTGGGAGGTAAAGGCAGCTTGCGTGATGTTGATGTTGGTGCTCATTGGTTACCAAAAAATATGGGTCTGAAAGCACTGGCCCAAAGCACCAGTGAAACATTTTCTTTACATTTAAATATTGAGGGTCAATTGTTGCTTCCTGTGGAAGAATGTTTTAACCACATTCCCATATTTTGTGCAAAAGCAGATTAGGTAAAATTCATCACTTTTGATACATCAAAGAATACTTTTGTCTACAATACAAATCTGAAGAAAAAATGGGGGGAAAAGTGTTTATTTCATGGCCAGCATGCCATTAGTATTAGACATGGAGCCTTTCAGTGTCTAATGATTAGAAAATCATAACATAGATGACATGTCTTATGAGAGTTGGTTGAGTAACAAGAAGCGATTAAAAAAAATTTCAAATTAAAGATTGCGACTGGATTCACTGAAGAACAGCAAATAAATTGGTTTGGCCATCTGATAGATAGTGCCTGTTGAAGATTTATAATAAGCACAGAGTCAGGGGAAGCCTATAAGAACAATATCAAGAATGATCTTAGAGATCAAATAAAAAGTCAGTCAGAAAGAACACAAAGAAAATGTCCCCTCCCATCCTTTTATATCTACCTGGGACCACTAGAAGAGACGACAATAAAGACATTTTTTGTTTTAAACACACACAAAAAACGAACATAATAAAAAACAAGTGATATAATGTATGGGTTGTGCAAGCACACAATCACAAAGCACAAATTAAATGCTGTGACAAAAGACCTTTTGAGATGGTTAACAAAACATGACAGTGTAATAGAAACGGTGTCCTGTACTCTTGTATTTGTTTGGTTCACAGAGAATATCACATCTGTCCTGTACTCTTGTATTTGTTTGCTACTATCCATGATGAAATGCATTTCTAATGTCAGACTGTTAGTGTTAGCACTTTGGATGGCTACAGTATGCTTTTAATGCGTGTGTATGCAAGCGCATATGCTGAGACAGCAGTCTGTCAATCTTTCCACAAGGAACTGTGATAAACATTTTGTCACCATTTCGTTGGCACAGGAGCGGAGCAACTATGCGGTGACCCGTTTGCTATGAAGCTGAAACTAAGATTACCAGATTTGTTTGCTTCACAGAGAATATCACGGTGTCCTCTCCTCTTTTATTTGTTTATTCACAAAGAATATTCGTGGTGTCTGTAATCTTGTATTTGTTTGGTTCATAGAGAAAGAACCTGACCATTGCCTTCAGTGCTGCAGAGAGTATCGGAATCAAAGCAACACTGGTGAGTACGTGCTAGAGTACTCATAAAAGAGTAAACTTGTGGGAATCAAAGCAACACTGGTGAGTACGTGCTAGAGTACTCATAAAAGAGTAAACTTGTGGGAATCAAAGCAACACTGGTGAGTACGTGCTAGAGTACACATATAAGGTAAACTTGTAGGAATCAAAACAACACTGGTGAGTACGTGCTAGAGTACACATATAAGGTAAACTTGTAGGAATCAAAGCAACACTGGTGAGTACGTGCTAGAGTACACATATAAGGTAAACTTGTAGGAATCAAAGCAACACTGGTGAGTACGTGCTAGAGTACACATATAAGGTAAACTTGTAGGAATCAAAACAACACTGGTGAGTACGTGCTAGAGTACACATATAAGGTAAACTTGTAGGAATCAAAGCAACACTGGTGAGTGCGTGCTAGAGTACACATATAAGGTAAACTTGTAGGAATCAAAGCAACACTGGTGAGTACATGCTAGAGTACACATAAAAGATAAACTTGTGGGAATCAAAGCAACACTGGTGAGTACGTGCTAGAGTACACATAAAAGATAAACTTGTGGGAATTAAAGCAACACTGGTGAGTGCGTGCTAGAGTACTTATAAAAGATAAACTTGTAAGAATCAAAGCAACACTGATGAGTACGTGCTAGAGTACTCATAAAAGATAAACTTGTAGGAATCAAAGCAACACTGATGAGTACGTGCTAGAGTACTCATAAAAGGTAAACTTGTAGGAATCAAAGCAACACTGGTGAGTACGTGCTAGAGTACACATAAAAGATAAACTTGTGGGAATCAAAGCAACACTGGTGAGTGCGTGCTAGAGTACTTATAAAAGATAAACTTGTAGGAATCAAAGCAACACTGATGAGTACGTGCTAGAGTACTCATAAAAGATAAACTTGTGGAAATCAAAGCAACACTGATGAGTACGTGCTAGAGTACTTATAAAAGATAAACTTGTAGGAATCAAAGCAACACTGATGAGTACGTGCTAGTGTACATATAAAAGGTAAACTTTTAGGAATTAAAGCAACACCGACGAGTGCTTGCTAGAGTACACATAAAAGTTAAACTTGTAGGAATAAAAGCAACACTGGTGTGTACGTGCTAGAGTACACATAAAAGGTAAAGTTGTAGGAATCTAAGCAGCACTGATGAGTAACACATGGACGACCTCAGGAAAACTGGAGAAGGACAATAGAACGGAAAATAAAGGAATGTAAATTGACAAGGGATACCATGGGCAGAAAAGCAGCAGACCGCCAGCAATGGAGGAGATCACTTGTGAATGCCTTATGTGTCCACAGTGACATCAAGAGGATATATATATATATATACACACACTTTATACCTTCTGTAAACAGTGGTACTTCAGGAAAACCTTACAAATTACACACAGGCAGTCATCACCTGGGAGGGGGGGTTAACAAATCTTCCCTGGACTTATCGGATGATGAAGATTCTGAATCAGAACGGCAATGATATCTTCATCTTGTGCAGGCTCGAACACAGTATTGTCAAAATCTACAGCCTCTAAATGAATACTTTCAATAGAACTATCAGTATCAGAAACTGCAGCATGTGTTTGCTGCTGACAGTGTAACTGCCAATTGGCCTTGAAGCGACATGTCGGTTTCACTGTCAGTGATGTTTTTGATGGCATTTCATTAGATTTATCACAGTTAGAGTCATTTGACTGTTCAGTAGTAGCTTTGCCTTCACTTTCTGCACAAAAATGATAAATATGACCACCATGATTCCTTTGAGAATTTGACGCCATAACAAATATTTGGTCAGTGTGTCAGCAACATGGGAGCTAACAATCCAAATTCATCAGACATTTACTGTAAGCACTGCAGAGAAATGTGGAGAAATAATTGGGCTAAAGCAGGACTATTCAATGAAGTTTACTCAGGGGCCAAAACTGAAAATCGGGACCATCAGAGGCTAGAGTCCCCAGCACCAGCATAGAAACATAGTTAATATATACAACTGACACTGATCGGCGGGCCACTTGCTAGACCTCCATGGGCCAGATTTGGCCCACGGGCCACCAGTTGAATAGCCTTGAGCTTCAATCTAATTCATTGAAAAAAATCACAATTTTAACATGGTAGCTAGGCGTAAACATCACCTGATGGTATAACATGGTAGCTAGGCGTAAACATCGCCTGATGGTATAACATGGTAGCTAGGCGTAAACATCACCTGATGGTATAACATGGTAGCTAGGCGTAAACATCGCCTGATCGTATAACATGGTAGCTAGGCGTAAACATCACCTGATGGTATAACATGGTAGCTAGGCGAAAACATCACCTGATGGTATAACATGGTAGCTAGGCGTAAACATCGCCTGATCGTATAACATGGTAGCTAGGCGTAAACATCGCCTGATGGTATAACATGCAGTCATGATAAGTCAGTGGGTTAAGAGTTCACCCCAGCATACATTTTAATCACACGTTTCTTTCTTCAGGTTTTTGTTTAGAATTCATCCCATTTGAGATCTTGGTCAGTTTTTAATGTTGATGTTAGCGAGACTAGTGTCAGTTTTTAATGTTGATGTTAGCGAGACTAGTGTCAGTTTTTAATGTTGATGTTAGCGAGACTAGTGTCAGTTTTCAACAGGGAAAAAGTAGAGAACTGGATTGAATTTTGGTTTAACTTGGTGGCTACGGACCATCGTCACGAATCTGATGCGGCAGTTGTGTGGCACATAGGGCTTGCAGTCGATTCCTCCATAGCCTTTTTTTTTTTATCACAGGGCAGTCAGCAAAGAACTATATGTCAGTAGATATTATCTAGGACAGGCGTTCTCAAACATGTTTCGTCGCAGTACCCTTGTCGTGCTTAAAAAATGTGCGGCACACCTACCCTTAAAGCGGGTTGAATAAAAAATTTAAAAAAGAGCAAATTACTGTTCAGTTGTGTTTAATGCGATGAGACGAACGAATGCAACCAAATTTGCCTTTCATTCCTCATTCATTCAGCCTTTGTGCACCTTTATATTCTCTAACTCTCTCTCTCCCCCTCTCTTTCCTCTCTCCCCTCTCTCTCTCACTCTCTCTCTCTCTATCTTCTCTCTCTTTATCTCTCTGTCTCTCTGTCTCACTCTCTCTGTCTCTCTCTCTCACTCTCTCTGTCTGCCTCTCTCTCTCTCTCTCTCTCTCTCTCTCTCTCTCTCTCTCTCTCTCTCTCTCTCTCTCTCTCTCTCTCTCTCTCTCTCTCTCTCTCTCTCTCTCTCTCTCTCTCTCTCTCTTTTATTTAACATCTTATAGATGTTTCAGGAAACAGTTTTTTATATCACTTGAAATTGTTGTCTATCAGGTACTGTATTTCACAGACCTTGCATGTTGAGTTTGTGATTGTGATTGACTCTGTTTTCTCTCATCCCCAGAACATCAACGACATGGTGTCCATGGAGCGACCCGACTGGCAGGCCGTCATGAATTACGTCACAGCTATTTATAGACACTTTGAAGTGGATAAGCCATGAACTAGATACAGACTGACCAGTTTAGATAAACATTGGTCAATTTTGGATAAATATTTATCAGTGTATATAAATATTCATTAATTTGACAACAGTGAATTCCTAGAGGGAAAAGAAAGACAAAGGATGCTGTGAATGTTGAAAAAAAAAAGAAAATGTTGTATACAATGACACCATGTGACTGATGGTCAGATTTGTGTTGTTGTATACAATGTCACCATGTGACTGATGGTCAGATTTGTGTTGTTGTATACAATGTCACCATGTGACTGATGGTCAGATTTGTGTTGTTGTATACAATGTCACCATGTGACTGATGGTCAGATTTGTGTTGTTGTATACAATGTCACCATGTGACTGATGGTCAGATTTGTGTTGTTGTATACAATGACACCATGTGACTGATGGTCAGATTTGTGTTGTTGTATACAATGTCACCATGTGACTGATGGTCAGATTTGTGTTGTTGTATACAATGTCACCATGTGACTGATGGTCAGATTTGTGTTGTTGTATACAATGTCACCATGTGACTGATGGTCAGATTTGTGTTGTTGTATACAATGACACCATGTGACTGATGGTCAGATTTGTGTTGTTGTATACAATGTCACCATGTGACTGATGGTCAGATTTGTGTTGTTGTATACAATGTCACCATGTGACTGATGGTCAGATTTGTGTTGTTGTATACAATGACACCATGTGACTGATGGTCAGATTTGTGTTGTTGTATACAATGTCACCATGTGACTGATGGTCAGATTTGTGTTGTTGTATACAATGTCACCATGTGACTGATGGTCAGATTTGTGTTGTTGTATACAATGTCACCATGTGACTGATGGTCAGATTTGTGTTGTTGTATACAATGACACCATGTGACTGATGGTCAGATTTGTGTTGTTGTATACAATGTCACCATGTGACTGATGGTCAGATTTGTGTTGTTGTATACAATGTCACCATGTGACTGATGGTCAGATTTGTGTTGTTGTATACAATGTCACCATGTGACTGATGGTCAGATTTGTGTTGTTGTATACAATGACACCATGTGACTGATGGTCAGATTTGTGTTGTTGTATACAATGTCACCATGTGACTGATGGTCAGATTTGTGTTGTTGTATACAATGTCACCATGTGACTGATGGTCAGATTTGTGTTGTTGTATGCCTTCAGATGTACAACTGAGTCAGAAATATGGCTGCATATTTCAATTCATGACAGTATTATGGCTACATAAATTTACCAAAGGAAAAGTAATTCTTCAGACTACCAATAAACAACAGTAGAGAGTCACTGAATTGCCTCAAACTGTTTGCTGTAGAAAGTAACTAATTGCTTTCTGATACATACACTGTGGAATGTATGGCTGTATTTCTAACTTACCCTGTACCTGTATATGATTTGCTGAAGTTGTTCATCTCTGTTTGGCTCATGTGTTTATACAGTGTTTATTGTTGCATCAAAAATGAACATAATGCATTTGCTTTAACCAGATTATTTGGTCCTTGTTTTTAACTAGTTGTTGTTTGAGATATAAATTTGTGAAGCATTTACATTTGATGAGCATTTGCAGGTTGCATTTGAGCTTCTTCTTTTTGTGGCCTTTAGTGTTTATTGCAGTTGTGATCTGTGTATTTTTATCTTACTGCATTACGTTTGTTGGTTGTTGTGTTTTTTTTTTTTTTTTTTTGTGTTGGCTTTTGAAAGTCAGTGTTTGTTTTGTGTAGTTTATTTGATTCCTGGCTGAAGGCAACAAGTTTCTGGGGAGCTGTGGTTGTGTACTGGCTAACTTTCTGACCTGTTCATTGTGGCTTTTGCTGATTTGAGACAGGTTATTTTGAATGTGAGCTCCCAGGTGGACCCAGCATGTAATGGATTGCAGGGAATGTCTTTGGAAGTAAATCCTTAATGATGATGATGATGACTAAGTGTGGAAGTAAATCCTTGATGATGATGACTAAGTGTGGAAGTAAATCCTTGATGATGATGATGACTAAGTGTGGAAGTAAATCCTTAATGATGATGACAAAGTGTGGAAGTAAATCCTTGATGATGATGATGACTAAGTGTGGAAGTAAATCCTTGATGATGATGATGACTAAGTGTGGAAGTAAATCCTTAATGATGATGACTAAGTGTGGAAGTAAATCCTTGATGATGATGATGACTAAGTGTGGAAGTAAATCCTTGATGATGATGACTAAGTGTGGAAGTAAATCCTTGATGATGATGATGACTAAGTGTGGAAGTAAATCCTTGATGATGATGATGACTAAGTGTGGAAGTAAATCCTTGATGATGATGACTAAGTGTGGAAGTAAATCCTTGATGATGATGATGATGACTAAGTGTGGAAGTAAATCCTTGATGATGATGACTAAGTGTGGAAGTAAATCCTTGATGATGATGATGACTAAGTGTGGAAGTAAATCCTTGATGATGATGACTAAGTGTGGAAGTAAATCCTTGATGATGATGATGACTAAGTGTGGAAGTAAATCCTTAATGATGATGACTAAGTGTGGAAGTAAATCCTTGATGATGATGATGACTAAGTGTGGAAGTAAATCCTTGATGATGATGATGATGACTAAGTGTGGAAGTAAATCCTTGATGATGATGACTAAGTGTGGAAGTAAATCCTTGATGATGATGATGACTAAGTGTGGAAGTAAATCCTTGATGATGACTAAGTGTGGAAGTAAATCCTTAATGATGATGACTAAGTGTGGAAGTAAATCCTTGATGATGATGATGATGACTAAGTGTGGAAGTAAATCCTTAATGATGATGACTAAGTGTGGAAGTAAATCCTTGATGATGATGATGACTAAGTGTGTAAGTAAATCCTTGATGATGATGATGACTAAGTGTGGAAGTAAATCCTTGATGATGATGACTAAGTGTGGAAGTAAATCCTTGATGATGATGACTAAGTGTGGAAGTAAATCCTTGATGATGACTAAGTGTGGAAGTAAATCCTTAATGATGATGACTAAGTGTGGAAGTAAATCCTTGATGATGATGATGACTAAGTGTGGAAGTAAATCCTTGATGATGATGACTAAGTGTGGAAGTAAATCCTTGATGATGATGATGACTAAGTGTGGAAGTCAATCCTTGATGATGATGACTAAGTGTGGAAGTAAATCCTTGATGATGATGACTAAGTGTGGAAGTAAATCCTTGATGATGATGACTAAGTGTGGAAGTAAATCCTTGATGATGATGATGACTAAGTGTGGAAGTAAATCCTTGATGATGATGATGACTAAGTGTGGACAGAGACATAGAATACAGAAGGCTAACAACATCAACAGCCCCACTTTTGAGCCATAGAAATTATCCATGTGCACACCCACAACAGTAACAGCCAATGGATGTGCTATTCCTACAAACTTGGGGCTATCAATGCCAGACAAAAACATTGATAGATGATCACTCATAGTTTTCATTAGTGAGCTGTGGCATGCCTTTCACTTGTCCAGCGGTTGTTTTGTGGTATTCAATATGGCCATTAGCCGGTTTACATGTGAGCTGGTGAAATACTTTATGGAATCTTGTAGTAGTCAACTTAACGTGCCTGACTACTTCCATCAAAGACAAACTGCATTTCTGGTGGTGACTGTTGGCTTTGGCACCTCTAGCAACTTAAACTTGTATTTACTGCATGCCCATATTTCTGGATTGTTCCAGAACTAATTGGTTGTTCTCCAGTTTTTCAAATGCGACAGTGAGGGACATTTCATTTGATTTTCGCTGGCATAAGAGCCGGAGCAAGTATGGGAAAAACTGATTGCAGTGAAGTTGAAACCTCGTAAGTTTTAATTAGTAGTGTAGGCGACTGATTTTGCTGTCAATCCGTTCCGACATTCGTGCTTTGATTACTTGCTCTTTAGTGACATTAAGATTTCACTAAACCGCATTAAGCTGTGTTCCCTAATTTACCATTTTCAGTTATAACAGTCTGCCAGTTGTCATTGTATATTTTATTGTTTTCTGTCTTTGCTGATTTTCTTCTACACTAGAGTATAGAAAGTGTTGATGTTATTGTGCACCAGCTACAAGTCTTGAGATACTTAATTATTAGGGTTATTGTGCACCAGCTACAAGTCTTGAGATACTTAATTATTGGGGTTATTGTACACCAGCTACAAGTCTTGAGATAAGAAAGTATTGGTTTTACTGTGCACCCGCTACAGGTCTTGAGATACGAAAGTATTGGTTTTACTGTGCACCCGCTACAGGTCTTGAGATAAGAAAGTGCTGGTTTTACTGTGCACCAGCTACAGGTCTTGAGATAAGAAAGTGCTGGTTTTACTGTGCACCAGCTACAGGTCTTGAGATAAGAAAGTATTGGTTTTACTGTGCACCAGCTACAGGTCTTGAGATAAGAAAGTATTGGTTTTACTGTGCACCCGCTACAGGTCTCGAGATAAGAAAGTGCTGGTTTTACTGTGCACCAGCTACAAGTCTTGAGATAAGAAAGTATTGGTTTTACTGTGCACCAGCTACAGGTCGTGAGATAAGAAAGTATTGTTTTACTGTGCACCCGCTACAGATCTTGAGATAAGAAAGTATTGGTTTTACTGTGCACCAGCTACAGGTCTTGAGATAAGAAAGTATTGGTTTTACTGTGCACCCGCTACAGGTCTCGAGATAAGAAAGTGCTGGTTTTACTGTGCACCCGCTACAGGTCTCGAGATAAGAAAGTGCTGGTTTTACTGTGCACCAGCTACAGGTCTTGAGATAAGAAAGTATTGGTTTTACTGTGCACCCGCTACAGGTCTTGAGATAAGAAAGTATTGGTTTTACTGTGCACCAGCTACAGGTCTTGAGATAAGAAAGTATTGGTTTTACTGTGCACCCGCTACAGGTCTCGAGATAAGAAAGTGCTGGTTTTACTGTGCACCAGCTACAAGTCTTGAGATAAGAAAGTATTGGTTTTACTGTGCACCAGCTACAGGTCGTGAGATAAGAAAGTATTGTTTTACTGTGCACCCGCTACAGATCTTGAGATAAGAAAGTATTGGTTTTACTGTGCACCAGCTACAGGTCTTGAGATAAGAAAGTATTGGTTTTACTGTGCACCCGCTACAGGTCTCGAGATAAGAAAGTGCTGGTTTTACTGTGCACCCGCTACAGGTCTCGAGATAAGAAAGTGCTGGTTTTACTGTGCACCCGCTGCAGGTCTTGAGATAAGAAAGTGCTGGTTTTACTGTGCACCAGCTACAGGTCTTGAGATAAGAAAGTATTGGTTTTACTGTGCACCAGCTACAGGTCTTGAGATAAGAAAGTATTGGTTTTACTGTGCACCCGCTACAGGTCTCGAGATAAGAAAGTGCTGGTTTTACTGTGCACCAGCTACAAGTCTTGAGATAAGAAAGTATTGGTTTTACTGTGCACCAGCTACAGGTCGTGAGATAAGAAAGTATTGTTTTACTGTGCACCGCTACAGATCTTGAGATAAGAAAGTATTGGTTTTACTGTGCACCAGCTACAGGTCTTGAGATAAGAAAGTATTGGTTTTACTGTGCACCCGCTACAGGTCTCGAGATAAGAAAGTGCTGGTTTTACTGTGCACCCGCTACAGGTCTCGAGATAAGAAAGTGCTGGTTTTACTGTGCACCAGCTACAGGTCTTGAGATAAGAAAGTATTGGTTTTACTGTGCACCCGCTACAGGTCTTGAGATAAGAAAGTATTGGTTTTACTGTGCACCAGCTACAGGTCTTGAGATAAGAAAGTATTGGTTTTACTGTGCACCCACTACAGGTCTCGAGATAAGAAAGTGCTGGTTTTACTGTGCACCAGCTACAAGTCTTGAGATAAGAAAGTATTGGTTTTACTGTGCACCAGCTACAGGTCTCGAGATAAGAAAGTGCTGGTTTTACTGTGCACCCGCTACAGGTCTCGAGATAAGAAAGTGCTGGTTTTACTGTGCACCCGCTACAGGTCTCGAGATAAGAAAGTGCTGGTTTTACTGTGCACCAGCTACAGGTCTCGAGATAAGAAAGTGCTGGTTTTACTGTGCACCAGCTACAGGTCTTGAGATAAGAAAGTATTGGTTTTACTGTGCACCCGCTACAGGTCTTGAGATAAGAAAGTATTGGTTTTACTGTGCACCAGCTACAGGTCTTGAGATAAGAAAGTATTGGTTTTACTGTGCACCAGCTACAGGTCTTGAGATAAGAAAGTGCTAGTTTTACTGTGCACCAGCTACAGGTCTTGAGATAAGAAAGTGCTAGTTTTACTGTGCACCAGCTACAGGTCTTGAGATAAGAAAGTGCTGGTTTTACTGTGCACCAGCTACAGGTCTTGAGATAAGAAAGTGCTAGTTTTACTGTGCACCAGCTACAGGTCTTGAGATAAGAAAGTGCTGGTTTTACTGTGCACCAGCTACAGGTCTTGAGATAAGAAAGTATTGGTTTTACTGTGCACCAGCTACAGGTCTTGAGATAAGAAAGTGCTGGTTTTACTGTGCACCAGCTACAGGTCTTGAGATAAGAAAGTATTGGTTTTACTGTGCACCAGCTACAAGTCTTGAGATAAGAAAGTATTGGTTTTACCGTGCACCAGCTACAGGTCTTGAGATAAGAAAGTATTGGTTTTACTGTGCACCAGCTACAGGTCTTGAGATAAGAAAGTATTGGTTTTACTGTGCACCAGCTACAGGTCTTGAGATAAGAAAGTATTGGTTTTACTGTGCACCAGCTACAGGTCTTGAGATAAGAAAGTGCTGGTTTTACTGTGCCCCAGCCATTAGTCATTGTATTTTGTTGCTGAGCATGTTACAATTCCAGATAACATTCCCATCTGCTTGTTGATGATTTGATTTGTTTCCATGCATCTTGTGTTTCATGTACTTTGATCCCAGGTGGATATTGCCATGACTACCTGACTGCAAGGTCAGGAGAACCCTGTTAAGTGACCAGGAAATGCTCCAAGAGTTAAAGGTGCTGATATGTTACTGTCCACATCAGCCACTGAGTGCCTTTTGATAAAATCAGAGTGCCTATCAGTGCCGGAGTGGCCGCAGCTTATCGGCTAGATGCGGATCGGAAGTTGTGAATTCGCTCCCTGGTGGAGCCGGACCCTTTTCAGAAATGACCTTGACTCCCATCTCAACCCAGCCTTGAGTGGGTACCGGGTGCAGTCCCAGGAAGTAAAGGCGGCTGGCGTGATGCTGACCACATCACTTATCTTGTGCCGATTGGTCTGTAAAAAATATAGGTCTAGCCCTATATGCCCTATACGCCTGAAGGCATGGATAGGGGTACCTTTACTTACTATCAGTGTACCTGCAGCATGTTACAGTGGCATAGACCCGTGATCCTTCACCTGTTTGTGTCTATGTCAAACCAGGTGGCATAGACCCGTGATCCTTCACCTGTTTGTGTCTATGTCAAACCAAGTGGCGTAGACCCGTGATCCTTCACCTGTTTGTGTCTATGTCAAACCAAGTGGCATAGACCGCTGATCCTTCACCTGTTTGTGTCTATGTCAAACCAGGTGGCATAGACCCGTGATCCTTCGCCTGTTTGTGTCTATGTCAAACCAAGTGGCATAGACCCGTGATCCTTCACCTGTTTGTGTCTATGTTAAACCAGGTGGAATAGACCCGTGATCCTTCACCTGTTTGTGTCTATGTCAAACCAAGTCGCATAGACCCGTGATCCTTCACCTGTTTGTGTCTATGTCAAACCAAGTGGCATAGACCCATGATCCTTCACCTGTTTGTGTCTGTGTCAAACCAAGTGGCATAGACCCGTGATCCTTCACCTGTTTGTGTCTATGTCAAACCAAGTCGCATAGACTCGTGATCCTTCACCTGTTTGTGTCTATGTCAAACCAAGTGGCATAGACCCCTGATCCTTCACCTGTTTGTGTCTATGTCAAACCAAGTCGCATAGACCCCTGATCTTTCACCTGTTTGTGTGTATGTCAAACCATTCATATTGCCTGAGCTTCTGATGTGACTGTTTTTGGTTTTTAATTGGGGAGAGTAGGAGTCAGGGGTCAAAAGCCAGCTAGCAAACCAAAGCTGTCTTACTGCACGGACTCTCTGTGCATGGTTGATTTTATTTTCATCACGTTCATTCTTCAGTTTCACGTGGATGTGTTTTATTGGCATCATGTTCATTCTGAACTTTTGTGTGGACTTTATTACCTGATGTGTTGTGTTTTCATCATGTTCACTCTGAACTTTTACTTAGATGTTGCCAGTTGATTTCTGGGGACCATGTTTAGTTGTGTGTGTGTATTTGTGTTCTATTAGCTGGTTCTTGTCAAACCCAGATGTTCATGTGAAATGATGGTTTGAATTGTATGAGCGCTGCTGTATGTGTTGGACCTGTGTGCATTTTATTGTGTATAAATTTTTGGGGCTTACTGTGTGTTTGTGTAATGTGGGTTTTTACGGGTTTGTTTGAGTGGTCTGGGGTGTTGCTGTAAATGTTTGTATTGTGTTGGTTTCACTGTGTATGTTTGTATTGTTTTGGTTTTACAGTGTATGTTTGTATTGTGGTGGTTTTACTATGTGTGTTTGTATTGTATGGGTTTTACTGTTTGTATTTTGTGGGTTTTACTGTGTATGTTTGTATTGTGTGTGTTTCACAGTGTATGTTGGTTTTACTGTATTTGTTTCTTTTATGTGTAGGTTTTACTGTTTATATTGTATAGGTTTCTGTTGTGATAATATGTTATTACATAATGTGGTCACACAGCAGATAGTATATTGTTACATTATGTGGTCACACAACAGATAGTATATTGTTACATTATGTGGTCACACAACAGACAGTATGTTGTTACATTATGTGGTTGTACAACAGATAGTGTGTTGTTACACTATGTGGTCACACAGCAGACAGTATGTTGTTACATTATGTGGTCACACAACAGACAGTATGTTGTTACATTATGTGGTCACACAACATATAGTATGTTGTTACATTATGTGGTCACACAACATATAGTATGTTGTTACATTATGTGGTCGCACAACAGATAGTTTGTTGTTACACTATGTGGTCACACAACATATAGTATGTTGTTACATTATGTGGTCGCACAACAGATAGTTTGTTGTTACACTGTGGTCACACAACAAACAGCATGTTGTTACACTATGTGGTCACACAACATATAGTATGTTGTTACATTATGTGGTCGCACAACAGATAGTTTGTTGTTACACTGTGGTCAACACAACAAAACAGCATGTTGTTACACTATGTGGTCGCACAACAGATAGTTTGTTGTTACACTGTGGTCACACAACAAACAGCATGTTGTTACACTATGTGGTCACACAACATATAGTATGTTGTTACATTATGTGGTCGCACAACAGATAGTTTGTTGTTACACTGTGGTCACACAACAAACAGCATGTTGTTACACTATGTGGTCGCACAACAGATAGTTTGTTGTTACACTGTGGTCATACAACAAACAGCATGTTGTTACACTATGTGGTCACACAACATATAGTATGTTGTTACATTATGTGGTCGCACAACAGATAGTTTGTTGTTACACTATGTGGTCACACAACAGATAGTTTGTTGTTACACTATGTGGTCACACAACAGATAGTTTGTTATTACACTATGTGGTCACACAACAGATAGTTTATTGTTACACTATGTGGTCACACAACAAATAGTTTGTTGTTACACTATGTGGTCACACAACAGATAGTTTGTTGTTACACTGTGGTCACACAACAAACAGCATGTTGTTACACTATGTGGTTGCACAATAGATAGCATGGTGGTACATTAGCTCCTGAAGTAGTTCTTGTTTGTGCCTATGATACCGTATTGCAAGAGTCAACAACATGCCAAGCATGGCACATGGAGATATTGTCAGCGGCACAATGTAAATTGAAGTTTGGTTTAATGTGTGTTTAAAAAAAATGTCATAGAAGGTAGAATTCTTCTCATAATCAAATGATTTTAGTTTCAATAAGGTAGAATTCTTCTCATAATCAAATGATTTTAGTTTCAATAAGGTAGAATTCTTCTCATAATCAAATGATTTTAGTTTCAATAAGGTAGAATTCTTCTCATAATCAAATGATTTTAGTTTCAATAAGGTAGAATTCTTCTCATAATCAAATGATTTTAGTTTCAATAAGGTAGAATTCTTCTCATAATCAAATGATTTTAGTTTCAATAAGGTAGAATTCTTCTCATAATCAAATGATTTTAGTTTCAATAAGGTAGAATTCTTCTCATAATCAAATGATTTTAGTTTCAATAAGGTAGAATTCTTCTCATAATCAAATGATTTTAGTTTCAATAAGGTAGAATTCTTCTCATAATCAAATGATTTTAGTTTCAATAAGGTAGAATTCTTCTCATAATCAAATGATTTGAGTTTCAATAATTGTTAACTGCAGAAGGTGTTGGACTAAAGCTTGCACACTGTAACAGTACTTTGCAACTGGACGACTGAAAGTAGACTTCCTGTCCAATGTGGCCGATAGGCAGACCACCAATTAAAATCTCAAAGTGTTTGCTTCTACCCACAGTTTGGAAATACATTTTTCCTTTATGGACTGGAGTTCTTGGTTTCACTGTGTAAGCTATTCTTTTTGTTTTGTTCGCTTGAAATCAGTTACCTGTATCTGTAGTATTGTCTTTGGTATGAACTGCACTGTTGCAACTATTGCGTTGAGTGCTTGTACAACACTGAGCTGTGTATTTCTGTAGCTGTGTCTAGTTTAACTGATTAAGTGCCTTATGCAATAATATTGTGTGTATGCAGCCAGCCTGTTGTAATTGACTACTTCCATCCACATCAAATTGCACTTCTGCTGGCATTGGCACTTGTCGTTGCTGTCTTATGCATTTACTGCCTGTGCATGATTCTGGATTTTTCCGAGACTGATTCTTTGTTTATAAATGGGAAATTTGAATATGACTTTCACTGGCTCAGGAATGGATCAATTAAGGGCTGACCCATTTGCAGGAAAGTTGAAACCTTAACTACTAGAAGGTTGCCGACCCCACTGTTTCATGTCATCTTGTGTCCCAGTTATCTTGTGTCCCAGTTATCTTGTGTCCCAGTTATCTTGTGTCCCAGTTATCTTGTGTCCCAGTTATCTTGTGTCCCAGTTATCTTGTGTCCCAGTTATCTTGTGTCCCAGTTATCTTGTGTCCCAGTTATCTTGTGTCCCAGTTATCTTGTGTCCCAGTTATCTTGTGTCCCAGTTATCTTGTGTCCCAGTTATCTTGTGTCCCAGTTATCTTGTGTCCCAGTTATCTTGTGTCCCAGTTATCTTGTGTCCCAGTTATCTTGTGTCCCAGTTATCTTGTGTCCCAGTTATCTTGTGTCCCAGTTATCTTGTGTCCCAGTCATCTTGTGTCCCAGTCATCTTGTGTCCCAGTCATCTTGTGTCCCAGTCATCTTGTGTCCCAGTTATCTTGTGTCCCAGTTATCTTGTGTCCCAGTTATCTTGTGTCCCAGTTATCTTGTGTCCCAGTTATCTTGTGTCCCAGTTATCTTGTGTCCCAGTTATCTTGTGTCCCAGTTATCTTGTGTCCCAGTTATCTTGTGTCCCAGTTATCTTGTGTCCCAGTTATCTTGTGTCCCAGTTATCTTGTGTCCCAGTCATCTTGTGTCCCAGTTATCTTGTGTCCCAGTCATCTTGTGTCCCAGTCATCTTGTGTCCCAGTCATCTTGTGTCCCAGTCATCTTGTGTCCCAGTTATCTTGTGTCCCAGTTATCTTGTGTCCCAGTTATCTTGTGTCCCAGTTATCTTGTGTCCCAGTTATCTTGTGTCCCAGTTATCTTGTGTCCCAGTTATCTTGTGTCCCAGTTATCTTGTGTCCCAGTTATCTTGTGTCCCAGTTATCTTGTGTCCCAGTTATCTTGTGTCCCAGTTATCTTGTGTCCCAGTTATCTTGTGTCCCAGTTATCTTGTGTCCCAGTTATCTTGTGTCCCAGTTATCTTGTGTCCCAGTTATCTTGTGTCCCAGTTATCTTGTGTCCCAGTTATCTTGTGTCCCAGTTATCTTGTGTCCCAGTTATCTTGTGTCCCAGTTATCTTGTGTCCCAGTTATCTTGTGTCTGTATGCATCTCTAGTGAAAGCATTAACTGCTGAAGCAGAAACGGGATGATTCTAGAACATTCAGAAAAATCATCACTTTTTTTTTAAGTTGCAAATTCTCTACAGGGTTTCACAAACTCCAATCATGTTTTGACCACTGTGTGGTTTCCTAGCCAATTGTAGTTTCAGTTGTTAGCACTTGTTTTGTGTAACCATCTCTTTACTTGTGTCTGTGTTTAATGGTTAACTGGTGACATTTTTGAATGACATCATTTTGTGGGGGCAGCTGAATGTATCAGCACTTGTGCATGACCTCCTGGACCTACAAGTGTACTTACTATCTTACATTAAAGTGTTACTGAGTGAACCAACAGGAGGCCGAATCAGTCAGTGTTTATAGCATGAGGGTACGGAGCTTATAGCACGTGTGTACGGAGCTTATAGCACGTGTGTACGGAGCATAGCTGTCTCCACCTTTCAGGATGCTTGTTTGTGAGTGTTACAATCATGATGTGTGTGTGCGCGCGTGCTGCACAAGCATGTATGGGTGTGCACGGAGAAAAAGTTTGCCATTGCCTTGAGAAAGCACTCGTGTACCTGTGTCTGTGTTTGATAGCCGGTCAAGTTGCATTCTTGAGTTAAATCATTCTTGGCTCAGTGTTTTCTCGGGCAGGTGAAGGTGTCAGTTTTTGTGGATGTAATTGCTGATCTGACCAGTTTTTGTGGATGTAATTGCTGATCTGACCAGTTTTTGTGGATGTAATTGCTGATCTGACCAGTTTTTGTGGATGTAATTGCTGATCTGACCAGTTTTTGTGGATGTAATTGCATTTGCTGATCTGACCAGTTTTTGTGGATGTAATTGCATTTGCTGATCTGACCAGTTTTTGTGGATGTAATTGCATTTGCTGATCTGACCAGTTTTTGTGGATGTAATTGCTGATCTGACCAGTTTTTGTGGATGTAATTGCATTTGCTGATCTGACCAGTTTTTGTGGATGTAATTGCATTTGCTGATCTGACCAGTTTTTGTGGATGTAATTGCATTTGCTGATCTGACCAGTTTTTGTGGATGTAATTGCATTTGCTGATCTGACCAGTTTTTGTGGATGTAATTGCATTTGCTGATCTGACCAGTTTTTGTGGATGTAATTGCATTTGCTGATCTGACCAGTTTTTGTGGATGTAATTGCATTTGCTGATCTGACCAGTTTTTGTGGATGTAATTGCATTTGCTGATCTGACCAGTTTTTGTGGATGTAATTGCATTTGCTGATCTGACCAGTTTTTGAGTCACTAAATGTACTATTATGCATTTAGTTTTAAGTAGACAAACTGTTGGACAAATAAATGAATGTTTATATCACTTGTATATTTGTTGTACATCTGTGGGGAGTGTGCCATATACTTGTATTCTCTCTACCATCTGTGGGGAGTGTACCATATACTTGTATTCTCTCTACCATCTGTGGGGAGTCTGCCATATACTTGTATTCTCTCTACCATCTATGGGGAGTGTACCATATACTTGTATTCTCTCTACCATCTATGGGGAGTGTGCCATATACTTGTATTCTCTCTACCATCTGTGGGGAGTGTGTCATATACTTGTATTCTCTCTACCATCTGTGGGGAGTGTGCCATATACTTGTATTCTCTCTACCATCTGTGGGGAGTGTGCCATATACTTGTATTCTCTCTATCATCTGGGGAGTGTACCATATACTTGTATTCTCTCTACCATCTGTGGGGAGTCTGCCATATACTTGTATTCTCTCTACCATCTATGGGGAGTGTACCATATACTTGTATTCTCTCTACCATCTATGGGGAGTGTGCCATATACTTGTATTCTCTCTACCATCTGTGGGGAGTGTGCCATATACTTGTATTCTCTCTACCATCTGTCGTAGCACTTGATGATGCACACACACACATACCCCCCCCCCCCCCCCCCCCCCCCCCCCTCTCCCTAAGTCTAGTAATATCCATTTTTCAAACTCTTTCTGTTTATTTTGTGTGTGTGTGTGTGCGAGTGTACGCTTGCATGCTCATGTGTGGGAGGTGGTTGTTTGTTTTTTTTTTTTTAAATTTTTGTTTTACTGTGATTACACAGTTTCTTTTGATTATCATTGACAGGTTTTTTTTGGGGTGTTATTTACTGGATGGGTGGGGGGAGGGGTGTTGAGATAATATAACTAAAGAAACTCTGTTTGTAGGAACTGTGCAGTCTCTTTCTAAGCATGACATCACAAAGCTAGCAACTGTGAGACAACAGCACACAGAATAACACAGTGGTAAGACAACAGCACACGGACAAACTCAGTGGTAGGACACCAAATGACAGTTTATGATTGCTTTAATTCAGTATTTGTCTCAGAAGTAAA